GTGTGCTAACTAAACAAATCAGACTTTACGTAAGTGCATCATGGTAACAGAACAGAATGCCGAATATAGTGTTACAGCTACAGAGAAGGTGCAGAGAAAGATCCAACTCTAAAATATAAGAGGTCCATTCTTAAATTTGATAACAGTGAGGAAGAAGCTGTCCTTAAATCTGTTGGTATGTATTTTCAAACTGTTGTTACTTCTGCCTGATGGAAGAGGGTAAAAGAGAGTATAATCGGGGTGGAAGGGGTCTTTAATTATGTTGGCTGCTTTCCCAAGGCAGCAGGAAGTGTAGATGGAGTCAATGGAAGGAATGTTGGTTTTGGTGATGGACTGGACTGCGTTCACAACTCTTTGTAATTTCTTGCAGTTTGGGGCAGAGCAGTTGCCATACCAAGCTGTGATGCATCTGGATAGGATGCTTTCTATGATGTATTTATAAAAATTGGTTAGTGCCTTTGTGGACATGCTGAATTTCCTTGGTCTTCTGAGGAAATAGAAACGTTGGTGTGCTTTCTTGACTGTAGCGTTGAGGTGGAAGAGCCAAGACAGATTGTTGGTGGTACTTATTTCTAGGAACTTGAAGCTCTCAACCACCTCCACCTCAGCACCATTGATACAGACAGGATGTGTCCTCCACTCCACTTCCTGAAATGTATGATCAGCTCTTTCATTTTGCTGACACTGAGGGAGAGATTGTTGTCTTTACACACACCATTAAGCTGTCTATCTCTTTTCTGTGCTCCGTCTCATCGTTGTTTGAGATCGAACCCACTGCAGTGGTGTCATTGGCAAATTTGTAAATGGAGTTAGAGCCAAATTTGGCCACACATTTGTGAATATATAAGGAGTATAATAATGAGCCATGCGGGGCTCCAGCGTTGAGGATTATTGTAGAGGAGGTGTTGTCACCTATCCTTTTTCTTCTAATGTCTGCTGTTTTTCTTTTTTTTCTCATTCTTCTTTTGTTTAAAGCCTTTTGCAGCAAGTTATTCGGCAACATCGGCACAGCAGCAAGAGCAGGCCATGCACGGAATGGCGGCAGCCTCCCAGAAGGCTGAGGCAGATGTGGCCTCTCCCGGCAATTGGAGGTGACAGCAAGGACATTCTCCTGGCATTCGAGGCCAGTGGCAGCGGTGGCAAAGCTCCTTGAGTGATCGGAGGCAGCAGTGGCAAGAATACAGTTCCTTCCCGTGCTTAATGCAAGACTCGCAGGCTGACCAAGATTTCAGGCCATGGCTAAGCCCAAGTGCCTGCATCAGTGGTTCCAACATACTTTATGAAGACTAGACTTAGACTTTGCGATCTGGACATTTTTCTTACTTTTTGGTTTTCTTTTATTTCTGCTGCTTTTTTTGAGATTCTGGTTGTATAAGCAAGATGGCGCCAGAGAATGGCGACTCAGTACACTTTTCACTGTACTCATGTATTACTATTCTTGAGTACAAGTGACAATAAAATCTAATTCTATATCTAATTGAGTGCAGTCTGCGGGTCAGAAAGTCGAGGATCCAGTTACAGAGCGGGGAGCAGAGTCCCAGGTCTCAGAGTTTGGAGTTGAGTTTTATTGGAATTATGGTGTTGAAGATGGAGTTGAAGTCATTAAATAGGAGTCTGACGTAATTGTCCTTGTTATCCAGATGTTCCATGGATGAGCGTAGGCCCAGGGAGATGGTGTCTGCCATTGTCCTATCGTGATGGTGGGTGAAGTGTAGCAGATCAAGGCAATCTGGGAGGCTGGAGTTGGTGTGTGTCATTATTAACCTCTCAAAGTACTTTATTGATATTTGTAAACCGATACCTGCCTGTCCTCATTATTTTTATGATCTTGCTGAAGTCATAAATCTATTTGTTTAAACCTTGCAATTGGTAACTATGTTTTATTTTCTTTACTCAGAGAGTAGTAAGGGCGTGGAATGCCCTGCCTGCAACAGTAGTAGACTCGCCAACTTTAAGGGCATTTAAATGGTCATTGGATAAACATATGGATGATAATGGAATAGTGTAGGTTAGATGGGCTTCAGATTGGTTTCACAGGTCGGTGCAACATCGAGGGCCGAAGGGCCTGTACTGCGCTGTAATGTTCTATGTTCTATGTTATTAGTACTCACTACAAAAGCAGATTAGATGCTAGGAATCCTGCAGTGAGAAATTCACAACCTGTCTCCCCAAAGACCATCTACAAGGAACAAGTCAGGACTATGATGGGATACTCTCCAATTGTCTGGATGGGTCCAACTCCTACAACACTCAAGAAACTTGACACCATCCAGGACAAAGGAGCCCACTTGATTAGCACCACAAACATTTATTCCCCCCAACACCAGTGTTCAGTAGCAGCAGTGTACCATCTACAAGATACAGGGATTCACCAAGGCTCCTTTGACAGCACATTCAAAATCCATGACCCCTAACTCAAAGGACAAGGGCAGCAGATATATGGAAACACCACCACCTGAAAGTTCCCCTCCAAATCATTCACCATCCAGATTTGAAAACATATTGCCATTCCTCTAGTGTCATTGGGTCAAAATCTTAAGACTCCCTCTAAAGGTACTGTGAATATACCTGCACCAAATGGATTGCAGTATTTCATGGTAGCAGCTCACCATCACTCTCTCAGTGGCAACTAGGGATGGACAATAAACACTGGCCCAGGTAGAGATCTCCACATCCCATGAGTGAATAAAACAAACTTCACACCTATTCTATGACTGACTCTGCACAACATAAATTAGCCAAGTGGTTGTTTGAGTTGGCACAACCAGTTCTAAATGAGTTTTCCACATACGCTTTGAAAGATTCCACATTCACTGAGACCATATAAAACCTACACATTGAGAGCAATAATATATACGTGTTATTTAGACGTTTACAGCTTTTTTTCACCAACATGCTCCTCAAAGATGTAATTTGTATAATGCCACTATATCATTGCAATCTAGATGAACCATCTTGTCTGAATCTGCATTCATCACACTCATGAACTTCACAATTTGTGCTGTAGGGTTAGAGTCATAGGGTCATAGAGATATACAGCAGAGAAATAGATCCTTCGGTCCAACTCGCCCATGCCAACCAAAAATCCTAAATAAATCTAATCCCATTTGCCAGCATTTAGCCCATATCCCTCTAAACCCTTCCTATTCATATACCCATCCGGATGCCTTTAAACGAACTCCGATGTCCAGAGATACTTGAAACCAGACAGCAAAGGCAGCAGCTGTGCAGGTTTCTGCTGGTCAGCTTGAATGACACCATGGATGCCCAAATAGATGTCATTGCCTTGGGATTTCCTGTATAACCAGTCCTTGCTAACATGTTTGTTTGGTTACCATAAAAAATGCATCTTCGATGGAAAGACCACAAGCCTCCTGCCCCATGACGATTTTCAATGTATAGATGATACGTTTCCAAATTTGAATCCACAGTTGCAGTGTCCTAGCCATCAGCCCACCGTGTAATTTTTATGTTGAGATAGGTCATATGAAAACTCTCCTGCATGATAACAAAACTCTGATCAAATCATTACTCAAAAGTCAAGAAGGGCCAATGTCTACCACCTTTGGCCCCAAGTAGTGCCCAGTCTACCGCACAGTACGCAGGATTGGGAAGGTGTCTCAAAAATTGGAATAAGCTAAAGTTTAAGCTAGTTTTTCGTGTGAAATAAAGCTTTTTTTTGGCAAAAACGTCTGTACAGATCACTGTCTTGGCAAGTGCAAGGTTGCACTCCCTGGACAAATACTCAAGCCCTAACTGTACAGCGATCTTGTGGCCACCTTCCACCACCCACTGCACCCTCGAAATCTAAGCCCAACAGGCAGGCCCTGCAACCAAGTCTCAAAGTGTGAAGGACAGAAAACACTGCATAATCAATTCTTCACTCAATCACGTACAGTACAATGAACATATCCATTTTCTTTGCAGCCTCAGTGGAAAAGTGCATTGATTTTCCAAAATATTGACACTGGGTCAGAAAGTTTCAGTCAGCAAATTAATAAGTGGAATAGTTTTGCAAACTTCATTGCAACATAAAATATATTATTACACTGTAAGTCAGGTTAAGCTTTATCCAGGCTTTAAGGTTTCTCTGCCTTTTTAAATTTCATCAAATGAACTTTAAGCCAAGTCTGTTCAGATGAACATCAAACATTCCACACTAACATAACAGAAGGTTTCCATGATGTCTTAGACAATATTCTGCCCTCCACCAATTAAAAGCCCATAAGCATAAATCAATCTAATTTCACAAATTATGCATTGCGGTAATAAACACAGTTCTGGTTCAACCACACCAGACTAAGACAATCCAGATGACCCATGCAGGGCTAACAGACATATCAAAACAAAGAACCAAGGATGCTGGAAATCTAAAACGAAACAGAAATTGCTTGAGAAACTCAGCTGGTCTGGCATCAGATGTAGGGAGAAAGCAGAGTTAATGTTTCGAATTTGGTGACTCTTACTCAGGACGGATAGCAGCTAGGAAAAGGTGGAATGCATAACTGGATGCGTTATGGCATGCGGATACCCATGGCTACACCTTTGATCTGAAGACAGTGAGATTTCTTAAAGGAGAAATTGTTCAAATGAGAATGAGCTCAGCCAGGCAGGTTGGTGTGGATAGGGATGGTTCAGGCCTTCCTTCCAGGCAGAAATGGAGTGTCCCAAACAATAACTCCCTCGTCTGCTTACCTCTTTCATACCACTCTCTTTCTCTCCGGGTTCCATCTCCACCTATCCACTGAGCTCTCCCAATACCCACCACAACCTCAACTTCAGCATAACAGCTAAGAAAAGGTAACATTTATCAGTTCTGATGAAGAGTCAGCAGACTTGAAACATTAACTCTGCTTTCTCTCCACAGATGCTGCCAGACCTGCTGAGTTTTGACAGCAATTTCTGTTTTTGTGACAGAGGTGTTCTTGCTGCTTGCAAAATGTATGAAAACTTTCAAATACACATGGAGTTCTTGGTTATCTTACATTGTTCTTACTTACAGACTTTGAAGCCCAGCTTCTCAGCATATGCCCTTTTAGCCATCATCTGTCCCTCTATCACTGCCCGGACCTCCACATCTTTGGGAAACTCTGAAACCTAAAACACACAAACAGTAAAACTGCAATATTTATTCATCTGGTTTTATAAAGGCAAAAAAAAATAAACTAAAAGGGCCACATGATAATATATAAATCTTGCAATGCTAAAGTTCCAGATGCAGTCTATGCAGATTATGATGCAATGAGTACCTAATTCCACTTTTTCCAGTCCTATCTGTCAAATTATTCAGATCTTTTGGTCAGTCGCAAGAGATCAAGGCTATTAAACCCTTTTTTTAATATGGCCTTTTACATCTCTTACTGAAAATCCTCATTGACTATAGTTTGGGGTGGTATTATGCTGGCACTGCATTCCAAAACACTGACATCCAGTTAATCTATCCTCACATATATGATGTGCATGGACAATGAGAGGGATATGCCAAGCAGAGAAGATGCTCTGTCATGTTAACCTGAATGAAGGTATTTTGCCAATGTGGCTTTGTTTAAGCAGGGTCATTGGGAATGTTTTGTCTTATTTTGGATGGGAACTTTGCATACTTTTTAAAATCTTTAACTTTTGTGATGGCTTGGAAAATAGCAGGGCTCAGTTTTCGTTCACTATCTCAGTTAGTCGTAACAACAGATAGTTGAGGCTTTGATCAAATATTTCAGAACTCACTTGATTCTGGGAGGGTCCCAGCAGATTGGAAAATGACTAATGTGATACCCCTGTACAAGAAAGGAGAGAGCAGGAAATTATAGGCCAGTTAGCCTAACATCTGTCATTAGGAAAATGCTAGCTTCGTTATTAAGGAAAAGCTTAACACATTTAAACACAGTCAACATAGTTTTAGTTTGAAAGAAAATTTTTGAAAAATTTTTGCTATAGTTCTTAGAGGATATATAAAAGAACGTTGATAAAAGTGAACTGGTGGATGCAGTGTATTTGGATTTCCAGAATGAATGTGATAGGTGGCACTTAAAATTTATTGTACAAGGTAGGAGCTCACAGTAAGGCATGGATTGAAGATTAATGTATAGCTTGGTTTAGGATTTACTAACACACAGAAGACAGAAGATCAGGTCTTTTTCAGGTTGGAAAAACGCAACATGTGCTACAAGGGTCAGTTCCAGGACATCAATTATTTGCTATCTACATTAATGGCTTGGAGGAGGGGACATAATGCACTATATCCAAATTTAATGTTACAAAAGTAGACAGGAAGGCATGTTGTGATGAGGATTTAAATAATCTGCACAAGGATATTAACAGGTTTAGTGAGGTGACAAAACCTTGCTCATGGGGTTTAATGTAGGGAAGTGTGAGGTCATGCACCTGAGGGCGAGGAAGAATCAAAAGACTGACCTTTTTTTTTAAATGGAGAGAGACTCCAAAAAAAGTGTAGCACTGTGGGATCTGGATGTTCTTGTGCATGAAATACAAATCATTAGCATGCAGCTGCAGCCAGTAATGAAGAAGGCAGATTGAATTTTTCCTTTATTGCTTGGTGGGTTGGAGTTTAAAAATAGGTAAGTCTTGTTACAAACAAAAAACAGAAATTGATGGAGAAACTCAGCAGATCTGGCAGGGTCTGCGTTCAATCAATCAATCCTCCTGCTCTTATACTCACTAGCACTGGAAATAATCTTGAGATTACAGCTTTTAGGGTCCTGATTTTTAAAATTTCCTTTCTTACTTCCTTTTTGGTAGCATTCCTTGCTGAAATCCAAATAATTACTTCTTTATAAATGATATGATTTTCTAATTTTAAGCTATTCAATCTAATTCCCAAATGCCAGTTTCTCACAAACCATTGCACTTACAGTTTTTCCATGACGCCACACTTTAATTTTTGGTCACTTTTAACCCAGCTGCTGAGTAATCCCAAATTGAGGTGTCTCCCATGGGTCTGGACATCTCTGCTCCTGGAAGGCTAATTTAGGCTCCATGCCTCTCCTTCTTTTTATCCACTGTCCAAGACGAGGCAAGACTGGATGTCTCCATTCCCAGAAGATGAGTGAAAGCCCTGAGCTTTCTTCTCTCTTCTCTCGCTGAGTCAAGGGTCTCCTGTAGGTCTCGCTGTCTCCACTCCCCTGAAGGGTTCTATTCTCCAGGTCTTCCTCTCCACTCATGCTATTACGTGCTGGTGACTTTTTGTTTTATTTATCCATAAGGCGAGGGCATGATTGACTAGGCTAGCATTCACTGCCCATCCCCAAATTACCCAGGGGGCAATTAAGAGTCAACCACATTGCTGTGGGTCTGGAGTCACATATAGGCCAGACCAGGTGCAGATAACAGATTTGTTTTCCTAAAGAACATTCATAAACCAGATGGGTTTTTTCAACAATTTAATAATGGTTTCATGGTAATCAGTAGATTCTTAAAGTCAGATTTTTTAAAAATTTAATTCAATTTCTACCGTCTGCCATGGTGGAATTTGAACCCATGTCCTCAGAACATTAGCTGAGTTTCTGGATTAACAATCTAGTGATAATACCAGTAGGCCATCACCTCCCAGACTGTCTCTGGGTTTTCCTCTCATCCAAATGGACAGAAGTAATGTGGATTTAAGAATGGGAAATCATGTTTCACTAATCTAATATCCTTTTGAGGATATTACGAGCACAGTCAGCAAGGTGAAACCAGTGATTGTGGTTTATTTGGATTTTCAGAAATCTTTCGACAAAGTTTTTTTTTCCTTTATTCATTCACGGGATGAGGGCATCGCTGGTGAGGCAGCACTTATTGTCCATCCCTAATTGCCGATGGGACAGTTCAGAGTCAACCACATTGCTGTGGGTCTGGAGTCACATATAGGCCAGACCAGGTGCAGATAGCAGATTTGTTTTCCTAAAAAACATTCATGAACCAGATGGGTTTTTTCAACAATTTAACAATGGTTTCATAGTAATCAGTAGATTCTTAATTCCAAATATTGAATTTTTTGAATTCAAATTCCACCATCTGTTGCTGTTCAAACCCTGGTCCCCAGAATGTTATCTGGGTCTCTGGATTAACAGTCCAGCATTAATACCACTAGGCCATCGCCTCCCAGTCTCACACGAGAGGTTTGTAAACAAAATTAAAGTGCCTGGTCCTGGGGTAATACACTAGCAATGGATTGAGGATTATTTATAGACAAAATGCAGAGAGTGGGAATAAATGAGTCATTTTCAGGTGGGCAGGCTGTGACCAGTCAGGTACTGCAAGAACCAGTGCCTGTGCTCTGGTTGTTCACAATCCATATCAATCATTTGGATGATGGGGGAGGTGCAAATGTAATATTTTCAAGTTTGCAGATGATACAAAATTTGTTGAGAATTTGAGTCGTAGGGAAGATACAACAGGCTTTAATGGATTTAGACAGTCTGAGTGAGTGGATAAGAATATGGCAGACTGAATGCAATGTGGTTAATTGTGGGATTATACACCTTTATGGGAGGAATAAAGGCACAAAGTATTCCTTAAGTGGTGATACGTTGGAAAATGTTGATGTCCAAAAGGACCTAGATGTCCTTGTTCATAAATCACTGAAATTTAGCATGCAGGTGCACCAAGCAATTCAGAAGGCAAACAGTATGTTACAAGAAGATTTGAGTACAGGAACAAATAAGTCTTGCTTCAATTGTATAGAGCACTGATGAGACTCCATATGGAGTATTGTGTGCATTTCTGTTCTCCTTAACAAGGAAAGAATACACTTGTCATGGCTGGATGCAGTTGAGATTCATCAGACCAATTCCTGGGACTGTGGCACTGTCTAATGAGGAGAGATTTAAAGAAACAAGTTCTATATTCTTTGAAGTTTAGAAGAATAAGAGGCAATCTTACAGAAACTTAAAAAATCATTGATTCCCTGACTGATCAACAGTCTATCTAGATCAGCCTTAAATATGCACAAGGATTCCACCCCCACAGCTCTCTGTGGCAAGGTGTTCCAAAGACACTCAAACCCCTGACAGAAGGAATTCCTTCTCATCTCACTCTTAAATTGGCACCCCTTTATTCTATGCCCTCTGGTCCTAGACTCTCACATAAGGGGAAACATCCTCTCAGCTTTTACACTGTCATTCTCCTTAAGAATCCTACATGTTTCAAGAGGTGTCCTCTCATTCTTCTAAATTCCAGCGAGTAGATTCTCAATCTGTTTAGCCTTTGCTTGTAAGATAATCCCTCATTCCAGGGATCATTCTAATGAATCTTTTCTGAACTGTCTCCAATTAAATGATACCTTTCCATAAACAAGGGGACCAAAGCTGCTCACACTACTTCAAGTGGTCTCACCAGCACCTAGTACAGTTGCAGTAAAATCTCCATCCTCTTATACTTCAACTCCCTTGAAATAAAAGCCAACATTCCATTAGCCTTCCTATCTACATGCTAGCTTTCTGTCTTTCATGTACAAGTACTCTCAAGGCCCTTTGTATTGCAGCTTTTCTCCATTTAAATGATAATCTGTTCTTCTGTTCTCTCTTCCAAAATGAACTGTGGGGGTCTCAAACAAGAATAAAAGAAAAGCCATTTAGGATGGAGATGAAGAGGAACCTCTTCACTCAGAGAGTGGAGAATTAACTTCAAGATAGATTTCTAGTTACAAATGACATTGAAGGATATGGGAATAGCATAGGAACAGGGCATTGGGGTGAATGATCATCCATGATCGAGAATGGCAGAGCAGGCTTGAGGGGCTGATTGACCTACTTCTGCTACGTTGCTAAGTTACTGGTGCCTCAGTTGACTTCTGTACACTTGATCATTCACAGAAATATGATCCTACCACTCTTGCAAATTACACAAAAACTGAAATTAACAGACAACTTCATCTGTTCTAAATACATTAGATCTACAGGACCCTGTATTTTTCATAACAATATTAAATAGATAGTCAAGCTTTGACAATAGGAAACAAGTTTTCAATTGAAATGATAGGTCTAATGAATTAATGAACATGTCAGGAATCACTCTGGAGAACACCCTTATGTAGCCCATGTAACAGTCACTTTGGACTCTCAGCTAATAACTTTACCATTGAGAGGTACTCTGGACGACCTATTGCATTTTCCCTTGCATATCGTTTTCAGCAGTACAGCATACAAGTTAAGGACTAAGACAAATGAAATTCCATTTTTATCATACTTACTCTGCAGTTTTTGGCATTGAATCGATGAATACCTACTACAGCTGGGGTGATCTCCATCACATCAAAATAAAATCCTTGAAAAACAAAAACACAATGTACACATAATAAGCAAAAATCTTCAACTAAAATGCAATCATTTAATATTGATTAGGGAGATATGGATGAATCCTGCACTGGGCTTCTCTAGTATTACTTCTCCTGCCTCAGAAGTACTGTTGTATTAGGAGGAAATCAAATATTTTGATGAAGTGGAATCCTACATTTGCAACGGTACTTTGAAAATGGTAATTAATCTAATACAGCAGGGAAACTTAAATAAATGGAAGAACCAAATCACTTAATAAAGGGACACATGTTTTATTGCTTATCCTTCCTTCTGCTTTGCTCATTGTCATGATTCTCTATTCAGACTCATCACTAGGCCTCTGCCTTCCTACTCTCTTGCTGCAACCTCTGCCTTAAATGTCTATTAGATAAGCCTACAGTTAACTTCAGCATCCCTTTCAGTATTCTCTAAAGTTCAATCACTCATCATTGCCTCCCTCCAAGTAGCAAACCTAACAGTAGCATCCCCATTAACCTTCCCACTCAGTGCTCCCACTAAATGACATGGTGGTGGGGCTGGAGGTGTGGAACTAATTTTGTTAATTCCATGGTTTTGACTAGGGTAGATAGTGATGAGCACTGTCTGTAGTTCAGGAGGTGAGGGGTTTGTTATTCTATGGCAGGAGACATGGGTGCAAACACTGTCTAACAAGCATGACACTTAGTCACTAAGATTGAGGCCACCTGATCAACTGCCTCAACCACATTCCTATACCCATAAAATCAAACTTTCCCCACTCCCTAGACCTAAACATTTTCTGTAGTCTCTCTTCCATTTCCTCCTTGCACACACTCTAAGTTTAGCATGTCAATGAGATCCATCTCCTGCTCACTTGATCCTTTTCCAACTACAATGCTAACCATTCAACACCTTTTTGATCCATGTGCCATCTGATAGAGCACATGGTTCCTTCTCTCCTTCACTATTTAAAAACTGGCTTCAAATGACATCCTCAGTGAATGTGACCACAATGCACTTTACTCCCTTTTTTTTGTTAATCTCTCTGTAGTATTAGATGATCAACCACATTATCCTTCTTCAAGATCACTCCTCTACCATCTAACTCAATTTGACAATTCTTAACAATCCAATCATAAACAGCGCATCATGAATGAATCTCCTTTCCATTCCATACTGTTACCTCTGGGCTGTTGTATGGAGTTATCCTTGGCCCTCTGCAATTCTTTTCTACACTTAGCCCCTTTCCTTATATTCATTAACAGGATCAGGGCGCTGCTGGCTAGGCAACATTTATTGCCCATTCCTAATTTCCCAGAGGGCAGTTCAGAGTCAACCAAATTGCTGTGGGTCTGGAGTCACATGTAGGCTAGACCAGGTAAGGATGGCAGTTTTCTTCCCTAAAGGACATTAGTGAACCAGATGGGTTTTTTTGACAATCGACAATCGGTCATCATTAGATTGTCAATTCCAGATTTTTTTTTTATTGAATTCAAATTTCACCATGTGTCGTGGCGGGATTCGAACCCAGGTCCCCAGAACGTTATCTGGGTCTCTGGATTAATAGTTCAGCGATAATACCACGAGGCCATCGCCTCCCCTCGACATCAGCTGAGGAAATGGGGTTAGTTTCTACATTTATGCTAATACTACACAGTTGAACACAATCACCCATTGCCCAAAACATCAGCTTCATTGGCCCTCCCAACTACTTCTCATTTAAATGTTTGACTTTCATCTAGTAACAGATGAACCTACAACTCTAATAGTGAAGCATTAGAAAAATGGAAGCTTTCATCTCTGGCAGGTAGTCCTACATTTCTAAAAAAAAATTAAAAACAATCTTTCATAATTTATGAAATTCCTGTGCACATTCTCTATTTTACCTAAATTTCCATTATTTCCAGGACAAGTGGTTTTCAGTGCTTTTGCAAATTCATCCCATGAACGAGAAGCACTTTCATCACGGACCTTCTCTCTCGTCAAGGAGCCATTCTTAAAACTAGAAATAAGGCATTGGTTTAGATGAGGGCATCATAATGGAATTGTCAAAATGTCATAATGTCATAATATGACATATGTTTGTCTCCACCATCTCTGCAATACTGAAGCAGTGTGAAAGAAAATTTCACACACAAGTTCGCACATGCAATGCATAATGGTAGAAAAATAGAATAGAAATCACAGTTATATAGGCTGAACTTAAACTACTCAATGGGTTTAGGAATAGGGCCTGAATACTGGTTAAGATGTAGAACATCAAAGAAATCCAAGTAAATATATTCCTTCAAGCTTTAAAGATGCATACAATAAATGGAAGTAGAAAGAACACTGCATGCACACACCTTTAACAACTCAATGTCAAGATGAAAAGAATATTATTTACTCTCATGGGTCGCTATTGGTGGGAGGCTGCCTAGAAACGTGGGTAGTCATTTTGACGATCTGTCTTTACTTTTTGTTTTATGTGATTATAATAGTTTTCAGCTTCGATTCTATTATTAGAGGAAGTTTGTATAAATGTCATAGTGGCCTGAGATTCTTGAAAAGACAATGTCATAATGTGTGAAAAGAAAGCAGAGTTAATGTCTTGAGTCCAGTGACCCTTCTTCAGAACCCTTCTGTACTGGACCGGAAACATTAACTCTGTTTTCTCTCCACAAATGCTGCCAGACCTAGTGAGTTTCTCCAGCAATTTTCCAGCATCCGCAGTTCTTTCGTATTTTTGTTCAATCTCATAATGTGTTTGATTAACCATTACATGTAGGTCCTGGAGTATGATCAGATTAAATGGAGCATTTGAAGGTCTACAAGAGTGTTTTGCTACCATACTGTCAATGACTTATGCCCTACAGGCTGATAATGATCATTTGGTTAATCAAAACTCAATGTCAATTAACCTTAATTAGTTGCACAACGTACTTCATTGTCCAAGCTACGGTGGAACAGTCAATCTGCATCTTAAACAGGACAAAAAGAGGATAAATAAACATTCATGCTTTTCTCAGATTCATCCATGTTAGACACGATCTCTTACCATATGAGTGCCATGTAGGCACTGCTATCAACAGGATTACAGAAGACATGTCCTTCTAAGGTGGGTTTCGGATCCTGGATCCAGAGAAAGGCAGTATCACTTGTCCCCAGGCTTACCTGGAAAATTCAATAAAAAGCCTAATGTAAGCAACTGCAAATTCAAGGTAAAGGAAAGTGGTTTACAAGTCATGTTTTTGGAATATAATCAAAATGAACACTATGTTCTGTAGTTTGATATTATAATTTTCTCAGAATCAATTTAGTACAAATAAGTCTATGAAATATATCAAGGGGGGCCGGGCACATCAGTTTCCTTTATAAAAACAAACTGAACAATTGCAAAGAACCAGGTAAATATTAACAACAACAAAAACAGAAATTGTTGGAAAAGCTCAGCAGGTCTGGCAGCTGCTGTGAAGAGAAATCAGAGTTAACGTTTCAGGTCCGGTTCTGAGGAAGGGTCACCAGACCCAAAACATTAACTCTGTTTTCTCTTCACAGATGCTGCCAGGCCTGCTGAGCTTTTCCAGCAATTTCTGTTTTTGTTTCTGACAGACAGCATCTGCAATTATTTCGGTTTTTATCAGTTAAACCGTAACTTGGCTGAACTGACATATTTGTGTAAAACGTGCTGACGGCACTGACAAAGAATATATTAGCATAAGAGTTCAGAAATATTTCTACAAACAATAGGTAAGTCGGGTTAAAAATAACAAAAAGATTATTACTATTACTACCTGCTGCTTTCCTTGCGCTCATATGAACTACCAATAACGTCTGTAAATACTGTCCACTAGCCACCTGTACTATCAGAGTAAATATTGACCACTTTTCCTGCACCTTGTAAATCTCTGATGGCAGCTGTGTGCATCTTACAGTTGTGCTCCCATTTATGGGTCCACCTAATTTCAGAATACAGTAATGACAGGTTTCCCAACGAACCTAGTCTGCCTCTTGCAGCAAAACCCCAAACTGACGCATCTCTCAAGGAGGTCCTTAATTAGCTTAATGGTCTATATTGGTGAATAAGAAGGTTTCCAGGATGGTAACTGGAAGCTGTCATGTTTGCTGACACTATTTTTTGTCCCAACTTCCACTGTTCCTTTCCTGCTCTGGTGGGACAAAAAAGAAAACTCCTGTCCCAGTCTTCCAAAATTGTAAGATATTCCAGTAGTATCCGTCTGTATCATAGACTCATAGAATCCCTACAGTGTGGAAACAGGTCATTCGGCCCATTGAGTCCACACCGACCCTCTGAGGAGCATCCCACCCTACTCCGCCCCCTCCCCTATCTCTGTAACCCTGCATTTCCCATGGCTAACCCAACTAGCCCGCACGTCTTTGGGCTGTGGGTGGAAAACGGAGCACCCAGAGGAAACTCACACAGACACGGGGAGAATGTGTACACTCCACACAGATAGTTGCCCAAGGGTGGCTATATGGAGTAAGCAACTTCAAACTCATTTATGACATTGATTAGTTGGTAGGTAATACTTATTTTTTCTTAAGCTGAGTAAATATTAAATATTTTATATTAAAGCAGAAATAGTCTTTTCTCTTGTTCATTCTTGGGATGTGGGTGTCGCTTGCTAAGCCACCATTTATTGCCTACGTCTAGCTGCCCTTGAGAAGGTGAGCTGCATTCTTGAATGCGATAGACCTTGGGGTGTATGACAGTGATTCAAGTATTTTAACAAAACCAAAGTGAAGGCATAGCAATATAGTTCCAAGTCAAGATGGTCTGAAGCTTGAAAGGGAACCTACATGGGGTTCTTCCCATCCAGCTGGTGCCCTTGTCCTTCCATGTGGTACAGATTGCAGCTTTGGAAGGTTCTGTTGGGAGATCCTTGGTGAGTTACAACAAAGCATCTTGCAAATGGCACACACCACTGCCATTGTGCACCAGTGGTGGAAGAAGTGCCATTGGAATGTGTTGTTTTGTCTAGAATGGTGTCAAACTTCTCATCTATTGCTATACACATCCAGGCAAGTGGACAGTATTCCATCACAATCCTGATTAGTGCCTTGTACATAGTGGGCAGGCACTGGGGAGATAAAAGGTGAGTCATTTACCAAGAATTCCTAACTTTTGATTTGTTCTTGTAGCCACAGTATTTATATGACTGATCTAGTTCAGTTTCTGGCCAACTGTAACACTCAAGATCTCAATTTTAAGGGATTCAGCGATGGTAAAGCTATTGAATATCAAGTGATGACAAGTAGATTCTCTCTTGATTGGGACAGCCATTGCCTGGCACTCGTATGATGCAAACGCTACCTGTCACTTATCAGCACAAGCCTGAACACTGTCTAGGTCTTGCTGCACATGAACATGAGCTGCTTCACTGTCTCAGGAGTTGCAAATGGGGCCGAACATTTTGCAATTGTCAGTGAACATCCTCCTTTCTGACTTCACATTAGAGAGAAAGTCATTGAAGATGGTTGGGCCTAGGACACTCCTGAAGAACTCCTGCAGCACTATCCTTGAACTGAGATGATTAACCTCTAAGAACCACAACAATCTTCCTTGGTGTCAGGTATGACTCCAACTAAAGGAGAATTTTCACCAATTCCCACTTACTGCAGTTTTGCTGGGGTTCCTTACGTGCCATACTTGATCAAACACTACATTGTTATCAAGGTCAGTCACTCTCACTACACCTCTGGAAGTGAGTTCTTTAGGCAATATTTGGACCAAAGCTGTAATGCAGTCAGGAATTCAATGGCCCTGACAGGACTCGAAGAGAGCATCAGTGAGCAGGTTATTGCTGAGAAAATGTCACTTGATAGTACTGTCAATGATTGATTTGTTGTTCTCAAATGTGCCAAGACAGAGTGAAAAATGTTGCTCTGTGTGCTATACAGGCAGATTGTACAATACAAAGTGCACCAGGGTAGCAGAATAGAGTGCATAATACAGTGTTACAGCCACAGAGAAGGCAGAGAGAGAGAGAGATCAGAATTAACATTTGAGAGGTCTATTCAAGAGTCTGATAACAACCGGAGGAAAGCTGTTCCTGAATCTATTCATACACATACTCAAACTTTTATATCTTCTGCCTGACGGAAGAGGGTGGAAGAGAGTATGTGGTTGCTTTCCTGAGGCAGGGGGAAGTATATATCGAGTCAATTCGCTTGATCGACTGGGCTGTGTTCCTGACTCTCTGTAGTTTCTTGCAGTCTTAGGAAGAGCAGTTGCCATTCCACACAAATAATCTGGAATTTAATGTTAGGCCGATAAATGCCCGGGTTGGATTTGTTGGGAAATTTTCCACACAGTTGATAAGATGCCAAAGTACTGTACTGGAATCACCTGGCAATGGTTTTAGAGGTTGTCAGGGCCTTCGCTGTACCCCTGCCTTCAGGTGGTTCTTGATGGCTTATAGGATGAATCAAATTCGTTGAAGACTGTCGTGTATGTTCACAAGGATCTCAGAAGCATTTACATAGTACTTCTGTCTGAAGATGGATCCAGTGCATCACCTTTTCTGTTGTAACAATGTGTTGGGCTCCCTCATTATTGAAGACAGGTGACTTGTGGAAACTCCTCCTCCTCAACTATTCTATTATCCACCACCATTCACACTGGATATGGCTGGACTACAGAGTTTAGATCTGATCTGCAGATTGTGAAATTGTTTAACCTTGTCCATTGCATGCTATTTCTAATGTATGGCATTGCAATTTTGTGTAATAGCATCACCAGATTCAGACCTCATTTTTAGGCATGCCTCCTGCTGCTCCAGGATTGCAAAGATGGAAAGGAATTTCTTCTCTACGGGTAGTAAACCTGTGGCAAGTTAATGTTTGCCACAGACAGCTTCAGAGGCTGGGTTGTTAAGTACATTCAAGGCTGAAATAGACAGATATTTAATCAGTTAAATTTTACGGGGAAAAGGCAGGGAACTGGAGTTGAGGTTTGATCTCACTGAATATTGGCGCAGACTCGATGTGCCAAATGACTACTTTGCTCTTTCATCTTATGACTTCTTCCAATGATTTATACTCATTCACAAAACAATGTTTGTGCAGATTAGTTTTGAATTTACTCCCTTTTAAGTCCAGGCTGTGTCTTCTAATTCCACTGTTCTGGATAGGGTAAAACAACCTATTAGGGTCTACATTTTCTAGTCTATTCAAAGTCCAAAAAACAGCAACCAAATCAACTCTCAACATTCCTCTTTCCAATAAGAGTATGTCCAATTTAAGTAATAACTTATCCCATCCATTCTTTCCATTCTTTCAATCATTTTGCTTTCCCTGTTCATTAGTAGCAATACCCTTTTTGCACTGTGCTAACCAAATCTTAATTGTAAGTATAGCTGCACCAATAGTGGCAGAATCACCTCAGTATCTGATCTCAAACTTAGTCTTTTAATACATCCCAGCATCAGATTTGCATTATTCAACATTGAGCAATGTTGTGTCACTCAGGCCTCCTAGATATCTTCCACTTTCTACACACAACTCTTTGACCAAAGTAATAGTTCCTTCTGTACCTTTAATCCTAATTTTTGTTCAGCTTCACAATCTACTACCTTAATGAATTAAATTGAATTGAATTGAATGATTTTTTTGTCACTTGTATTTAACAAATAAATGCTGTGAAAAGCGTAATATGTCACCATGCTTTGGCACCATTTTGACCTACAGAAAATATTAAGATATAAGATTGAAATTAAGAAATAAAATATAAATATAAGTAAAATCAGAGTTCATCTTCCTCCCTTCTTGTGTTTCTGCTGAACATTGAGGGGGGTGGGGGCTCCACAATAGGCTCCTGGCTCACCAATGCCTCCACATCACAGCTATTTCAGGAGTGCCAATTCGTGTCAATTCAGCCAAACCGCATCGCCACAGCTGAAGCCAAACATGTCTGATTCTGACGCCGACCTCAGATGCCGCCTTCTCCTCTGACTTCGCCGTGATGCCCACTCCATCACCACTTTGCCGCTGCCAACGCTGGACCAGCCAACTTTGAAGTCACCAATCATCAGGACCCATCTTCCGCCGCTGGGCCCACATCTCTAACATCACCTCCGCCGATGTAGCAGCCGCTGATGCTGATTCCAGATCCCATGCTCGCACCTTCCTCCGACTCTTCTGCCGCCATTGTACCAGAATCTTGCACCACAAGTTTGCACTGGGGTCAGTTGCAGCCATTGGTGCGGCCGAGCTCTTCACAGCAGATAAGTACAAGAAATAAAGGAAAAGAAAGAGAAAAAAGAAAAAAGAAAAATAAAAAAAAGAGAAAAAAAAAGTGGACAAGCCCTGGGCTCTGGGGCTCTACTCCGCTGCCATCTTGGGAGTTACTCATATTCCATTTTGAGCCTTGTGTTATCTGTAAATTTAGCCGCTATGTTTTTGATTCCGAGTTCTAGATCATTTAGATAAGAAAGATGTAAAACAAAAGGTTAATCCATTGTGCGATCCACTGGTAAAACTTAAAACTGGAAATTTTGCGCAGCACCAGCCAGTTGGATCTGACTCCATATCCATTGTAAAATATTTCCACAGAATTACAAGTTACAGTAAATTCTCTGTATCTACGAAATCATGAATTTGCCTATTCCCACCAAAAATAAGTAACAACAAAAATCAATATCCGCGGGCAAAAATGGAATAACTGCGATATTTAACTAATTTTTAACACTATTTTTAATGAGCTCCACACTTGTGAAATTCACCATTCACCTGGGTTTTCAGGAATGAAACTCTTGCAGATACAGAAGAATGTCTGTATTTATTACCACAACCATAGGAATTCTTTCAAAGGTCTTACTGGAATCAAAGAGCACCATGATCACTACCTCACCTACACCAAATTATTTTATCACACGCTCAGCAATTGTTAGTGTTACTGACAAATCTCCAAAAGAATGTCCACTAATCTCTCAACAAGGGATCAGTACCTTAGTGTGCAAAGGGGCTTAAAAAATATTTTGGTCATTAAGGAACCAAAAAAGTTATTTTTAATTATATTACTTTCTCCCTTGTCTCTTTCTAATCATGGATTTCAGGATTTTTATTGTTTAACTAATCATCAGATTTGATTTACAGAATAAAGGAGAAATTTTAAGAACAGACAACTTTTCTTAACTGTTTTAACTTGAATCTTTATTACTTAGCAGAACACAAATGCAAGGTCCTCAACAAAATAAATATACTCACTGCTATATCCCCTTGGTGAAGTCTCATTCCTGCCAGTGATGCTGTAAGATAGAAGAGATTCCATGTATTTAACATATCATTATCTTATTGTTCAGAACTTCATTTCATCTTGGAAAAGTTAATTTAACTCATGCTCACTTTTCAATAGTTCACAGAATGTGTATAACCATAATTTAAAAATAAAGTAAGTACCCCAAAATTATTCGTCATCACATGCATAAGATTTCAGAATGTGAAAAAGTTCTTAGAATGGTGGAAGTACTTCAGCCTTAAAGATGAATGGATCCTGAGCATTTAAGAGTTTCGAAATGAGTGTATTTCACTACTAAAATGAAAAACAAAACCTACAAATGCTGAACCTCTGAATAGAAAATTTTTAAAATAGACATACAGATCAGCCACCATCTGTAAATAAAAAAGGGAAGTTAATGTTTCCATTATTTATGTTCAACAAACTAGTTTCACGAGAAGTATTGATCGGCCTGCTGTCTTTATACTGCCAAGATCTTTCTTTTATTTCAAATTTCATTACTGTACAAGTATAAAAGAAAGACCAAGCACTGTATGGGGAAGAGCAGTCCATTTGATCAGTGTGCCTGCCTATTATCTATCCCCCCATCACTGACGTACTATGACTATGATGCATACTGTCTCCAGTTACTCATCAACCTGACTCTAACAGCACCTCCTGGTTCTACAATTTCAACCAGGAAAAACAAGAAACCTTCAAGTTGTACTTCAGCCTAAATTGCACACTGTGCCATCCTTTCATCAGCACTGGCAAAAATATTATTCCCCACTTAGCAGTGTTGTGGAAGCACATCACAAGGATTTCAATAGTTCAAAGCAATGTAACCTTTTTAATGCAACCAGGTATGCATAATAAATTTGGTGTTATCAACATCGTCCACATCAAACACTGCTAGTCTTACCAGGTACATTTACTTCTTTAACCTAACAAATTTTTAGCTTTCATTTTCTCACTTCCTTTCAGAACACGTCCCTCTCCATATCACGAAAATATCTGTGGTTTGTAAAAGATGTTTCTGTATAAGCTTGTTGGTACAAAAAGTGTAGCAAACCAACTTATAAATCCCTAGAGATTTGTCTTGAGGCAATTTAATGCACCATAAATCAATAGACTGTTTAATTGCACCAATGACATATACACTCAGTATCCACCCTGTGCTAGAAGACTGGAGGGTGGCTAACATTGCGCCATTATTTAAGAAAGGCTGCAAGGAAAAGCCAGGGAACTACAAACCAATGAGCCTATCTCAGTGATAGTAGGAACTGCAGATGCTGGAGAATCCGAGACAACAAGGTGCAGGGCTGGATGAACACAGCAGGCCAAGCAGCATCATAGGAGCAGAGAGGCTTTTTTTAGCGTGAGCGGTATTCGTTGATCTGTGGGTGGAGGGGGACAAAGGTGAGCCCTTTACTGAGGACTGACTGTTCGTCCTCAGTAAGGGGTAGGTCTGGGGGAATGGTGAAGACTCGGCAGGGCTGGGTGCTGCTGTCTCCTCTGGAGCTGCTGGCTGTGGAGGCAGTGGGCGGAGTGACGTCGGCGTCGGCTGTGGGCGGAGTTGCGTCGGCGGTGGGCGGAGTTGCGTCGGCATCAGCAGTGGGCGGAGTTGCGCCAGCGTTGGCAGTGGGCGGAGTTGCGTCGGCATCAGCGGTGGGCGGAGTTGCGCCAGCGTTGGCGGTGGGCGGAGTTGCGCCAGCGGTGGGAGGAGCGGGGTAGGCGGCGGCAGTAGCGGTGAGGGTGGTCGCGACTTCAGTGTCGGTGGCAACGGCAGCGATGGTGTTCACTGTCCCGGAAGTGGGGAACCCGGCGGTGGCGGATGTGACGTCATCAGTGGTGGGTAAGTTGTTGGAGGGGATTCTGACAGAGAGGATCTACATGCATTTGGAAAGGCAAGAATTGATTAGGGATGGTCAGCATGGCTTTTTGCATGGGAAATCATGTCCCACAAATTGATTCAGCTTTTTTGAAGAAGTGACCAAGAAGATAGAAGACGGCAGAGTGGTAGACGTTGCCTACATGGACGTTAGCAAAGCCTTCAACAAGGTTCTGCATGGAAGACTGGTTAGTAAGGTTAGCTTACATGGGATCCAGGGAGAGACAGCCAATTGGAGACAAAATTGGCTTGATGTTAGGAACAGAGGGTGGTGGTAGAGGATTGTTGGTCAGACCGATAGCCTGAGACTAGTGGTGTGCTGCAAGGATCAGTATTGGGTCCACTGTTGTTCATCATCTATATAAATGATTTGGATGAGAATATAAGAGGCATGGTTAGTAAGTTTGTGGATGACACCAAAATTGGTGGTATTGTCAACATTGAAGAAGGTTACCTAAGATTACAAAGGGATCTTGATCCATTGGACAAATGGGCTGAGGAGTGGCAGACGGAGCTTAATTTGGATAAATGCGAGGTATTGCATTTTGGTAAGACAAACCAGGAGAGGACTTACAGAGTTAATGGTAGGGCCCTGGGAAGTATTGTCGAACAGAGAGAGGTGCAGGTACATAGTTCCTTGAAAGTGATGTCACAGGTAGACAGGATGGTGAAGAAAGGGTGCAAAAAAGATTTACAAGGATGTTACTGAGGTTGGAGGGTTTGAGTTAAAAGGAGAGGCTGGATAGGCTGGGACTTTTTATCCTGAAGCATCAGAGGCAGAGGGGTGACCTTACAGAGATTTAAAAAATCATGAGGGGCATAGATAAGGTGAATAGCAAAGGTCTTTTCCCTAGGGTGGGGTGTCCAAAAGTAGAGGATATAGGTTTAAGGTAAGAGGGGAAAAATTTTAAAGGGACCTAAGGGGCAACGTTTTCACACAAATGATGATGCATACGTAGAACGAACTGCCGCAGGAAGTGGTAGAGGCAAATACAATTACAACATTTAAAAGACATTCTGATAGATACATGGATAGGAAAGGTTTAGAGGGATACATGGCAAATGCAGACAATAAGGGCTAATTCAGTTCAGGAAAACTGGCCAGCATGAACAAGTTGAGGTGACGGGTCTGTTTCCGTGCTGTATGTCTCTGTAACTCTAGTTAAATGGCAGTTGATAATTTTTACCGTTTTTGTTCTTTCATGGTAAGTGGGCCCTGATGGTGCAGCCAGCATTTGATATTTATCCCCAGTTGACCTTGAACTAAGTGGCTTTCCATGACCATTTCAAAAGATAGTTGAGAGTCAACCACATCACCGTGGATCTGGAGGCACATGTAGGCCAGACCAGGTTAGGACAGCGTATTTCCTTCCCTAAAGGACATTATTGAACCAGATGGGTTTTTATAAGATTTGATTATAGTTTTATGGCCAACATTACTGCAACCAGTTTTCAATTCCAGATTTTATTAATTGAACTAAAATTCCAACCATTGCCATAGTGGAATTATGAACCAGTGTCCCCAGCACATTAGTTTGAGCCTCTGGACTACTAGTATGGTGATGTCACCACAATGCCATTATTATCCTATAATCTTACCTGGATTGTCACCCGTAAAAGCAATAACTTTACACTCAGAATTGAATCCAAAGCGTTTCACATAGTATGGAGAAACTGAACCCTAAAGAAAACAAACTGGCTGTTAGAAGTGTAAAAGTAAACTGACATTCTTTGTGCATGAAGCTATAACAAAAAAACATAGTTAATAGAGGCCTGACTGTAGAAAGCAGAAGGTTCCCTTTATTATTGCTCAGATACTGGGGAAAGATTTATCACCAGACAAAAAGTTCTCTAGAGGACAGTCTTTAAACATGGCAATTTTTAAGGTTGGCTCAATTCCAGAGGTTTTGGAGTAACGTACTTGAAAAAAAATGATCACTTTGTAAGCCCATGTGTATTGCTTCTATGTGATGCATTGAATCAGTGACTCAGGCATTTAAATTCCTGACATTCCCACCAATCTGTGCACAATGACCACCAACCACACAGATCTCCCTTCCATCGTGTTCACTTTACCCACCATGAAACTACTGGACTCTTCTGATAGGTCAATAATCACCACGCACTACTATTTCCTATGAAGACTGCCTGTTTAGGTCTAAGAGCCTTGCCATCGACCTCGCTACGGCCAATATCTGACAAGTGATGTAAGCCTGCTCATGTGCCAAATCCTAACACATCTATACCACTCAAGCCGTTGCAATGATGAAGTGATTCTCAGTGAAATAATTTGAAAACCCAAATAATTTTTCAAATATCAGGACTCTTAACTGTTATTCAACTGAATGTGGAATCTGATCGAAAGATTTTCTATCATTCTGCACCTGACAACATCGTGAACGTGTCGACAAAGATCAAAAGGCACTTTACAAAGTCATCTTATTCTACACTTTTATACACATTTTGTGAAGGTTTCATCTTATCCTGATGTGTTCGAGATGAAAAACTGAAAAAAAAATGGCTTTTCTCTATAGTTCTTGGACTTCTCCATAATTTTTTTGCAAATCTATTCCGCTACATTTCTTGGACGAGTTTATGGTGTATAGAACTTAGTGAGCAATGTCATGGGATGTCTAATATTTTTTAATTCCAACCAAATACATTCTGTCCTTTCTCCTCCAGGACATCCCTTCTCTCCATTGCTGTAATATTCTCCACAATCAATATTGTTGCTGCTTCTTCTTTCTTTCCTTCTCTTAATGACTACTTAATGCCTATTTGCATTCTCACATCCACATTTCTGCTTTAGTAATGCTAAGAGATTTCTAATCCTAATAACCAGTTTTTCATCTCTACCTCGAGTTCCAATGTCAGTGAAAGAACACTCAAGATTGTGTCTCTAGATTCTAGGATTCTCTTTTAACCACCTCCCTATTTTGATCTGCACCTTCAAAAGCCAATAACGTCTTTCCATATTAAACTCACGCCTTCTCTTAATATTCCACAATGCCTCTGCAGAGCATGGAGAAACTCAGCAAGTTCAAAATGGTTCTGAAGAAGGTCATTGGACTTGAAATGTTAACTCTGCTTTCTATGCACAGATGCTGCCAGACTTGCTGAGTTTCTCCAGCAATTTCTATTTTTGTTGCAAATTTCCAGCATTCCCAGTTCTGTGTTTTATTTCCCTATAGAGCATGTCAGGAGGTTTTATTACATGAAAGTCAATAAAGAATTCCAAGTTTTTGTTGTAGTTAAAAAGTATAACTTCCTGTTTAAAAAAGAAAGTAGACAAAAGGCAGGTAACTATAGGCCAGTTAGCTTAATTTCGGTAGTGAGGAAAATGCTTGACTCTATCATTAAGGAAGAAATAGCAAGACATCTGGATATAAATTGTCCCATTGGGAACACCCAGCATGGGTTCATGAAGGGTAGGTCATGTTTAACTAATTTGGTAGAATTTTTTGAGGACGTTACTTGCATGGTGGACAATGGGGAACCTGTGGATTTGGTGTATCTGGATTTCCAGAAGGCATTTGACAAGGTGCCACACCAAAGGCTGCTACACAAGATAAAGTTGCACAGTATTACAAGTAATGTATTGGCATGGATAGAGGATTGGTTGACTAGTAGAAAGCAAAGAGTAGGGGTAAATGGGTGTTTTTCTGGTTGGCGGTCAGTGGCTAGTGGTGTGCCTCAGGGATCAGTGTTGGGACCGCAATTGTTTACAATTTACATAGATGATTTGGAGTTGGGGACTAAGTGTGGTGTGTCAAAATTTGCAGATGACACTAAGGTGAGTGGTAGAGTAAAGTGTGCAGAAGACACTGAAAGTCTGCAGAGGGATATAGATAGTCTAAGTGAGTGGGCAAAGGTCTGGCAGATGGAGTACAATGTGATAAGTGTGAGGTCATCCATTTTGGTAGGAATAACAGCAAAATGGACTATGTTTTAAATGGTAAAAAATTGCAGCACACTGCTGTGCAGAGGGACTTGGGGATCCTTGTGCATGAATCGCTAAAAGTAGGATTAGAGGTGCAGCAGGTAATTAAAAAGGCAAATGGAATTTTTTATGCCATTGCTAGAGGGATGGAGTTTAAAAACAGGCAGGCTATGCTGCAGAGATAGTAGGAACTATAGATGCTGGAGAATCCGAGACAACAAGGTGCAGGGCTGGATGAACACAGCAGGCCAAGCAGCATCATAGGAGCAGAAAGGCTGACGTTTCGGGCCTAGACCCTTCATCAGAAAAGGGGGAGGGGAAGGGGGTTCTGAAATAAATAGGGAGAGAGTGGGAGGTGGATAGAAGATGGATAGAGGAGAGGATAGGTGGAGAGGAAACAAACAGGTCGAAGAGGCGGGGATGGAGCCAGTAAAGGTGAGTGTAGGTGGGGATTTGGGGAGGGGATAGGTCAGTCCAGGGAGGACAGACAGGTCAAGGGGGCGGGATGAGGTTAGTCAGTAGGAGATGGGGGTGCGGCTTGAGGTGGGAGGAGGGGATAGGTGGGAGGAAGAACAGGTTAGGGGAGGCAGGGACGAGCTGGACTGGTTTTGGGATGCGGTAGGGGGAGGGGAGATTTTGAAGCTTGTGAAATCCACATTGATACCATTGGGCTGCAGGGTTCCCAAGCGGAATATGAGTTGCTGTTCCTGCAACCCACTTCCTACAGACAAAGGGGGTGGCCATGAGTACCCGCATGGGCCCAAGCTATGCCTGCCTCTTTGTAGGTTACGTGGAACAATCCCTCTTCCGTACCTACACTGGCCCTAAACCCCACCTCTTCCTCCGTTACATTGAGACTGTATCAGCGCCGCCTCGTGCTCCCATGAGGAGCTCGAACAGTTCATCGACTTCACCAACACCTTCCACCCCAACCTTAAGTTTACCTGGACCATCTCTAATACCTCTCTCCCCTTCCTGGACCTCTCTGTCTCCATCTCGGGCAACCACCTAGAAACCGATATTCATTTCAAGCCCACTGACTCCCACAGCTACCTAGAATACTCCGCCTCCCACCCAGCTTCCTGCAAAAATGCCATCCCCTATTCCCAATTCCTTCGCCTCCGCCGCATCTGCTCCCAGGATGAGGCATTCCACTCCCGTACATCTCCGTTGTCCTCGTTTTCCAAGGACCGTAACTTCCCCCCCTCGGTGGTCGAGAACGCCCTCAAGCGTGTCTCCCACATCTCCCGCAACTCATCCCTCACATCCCGTCCACGCAATAAGAACCAAAAAAGAATCCCCCTCATCCTCACATACCACCCCACCAACCTCCGGATCCAACGCATCATCCTCCGACACTTCCGCCATCTGCAATCCGACCCCACCACCAAAGACATCTTTCCCTCCCCACCCTTATCTGCTTTCCAGAGGGACCACTCTCTCCGTGATTCCCTTGTCCGCTCCACACTCCCCTCCGGCCCCACCACACCCGGCACTTTTCCCTGCAACCGCAGGAAGTGCTACACCTGCCCCCATACCTCCTCCCTCAACCCCATCCCAGGCCCCAAGAAGACTTTCCACATCAAGCAAATGTTCACCTGCACATCTGCCAATGTGGTATACTGCATCCGCTGTACCCGGTGTGGCCTCCTCTACATTGGGGAAACCAAGCGGAGGCTTGGGGACCGCTTTGCAGAACACCTACACTCGGTTCGCAATAAACAACTGCACCTCCCAGTCGCGAACCATTTCAACTCACCCTCCCATTCCTCAGACGACTTGTCCATCCTGGGCCTCCTGCAGTGCCACAACGATGCCACCCGAAGGTTGCAGGAACAGCAACTCATATTCCGCTTGGGAATCCTGCAGCCCAATGGTATCAATGTGGATTTCACAAGCTTCAAAATCTCCCCTCCCCCTACCGCATCCCAAAACCAGTCCAGCTCGTCCCCGCCTCCCTAACCTGTTCTTCCTCCCACCTATCCCCTCCTCCCACCTCAAGCCACACCCCCATCTCCTACCGACTAACCTCATCCCGCCCCCTTGACCTGTCCGTCCTCCCTGGACTAACCTATCCCCTCCCTAACTCCCCACCTACCTTTACTGGCTCCATCCCCGCCTCTTCGACCTATTTGTTTCCTCTCCACCTATCCTCTCCTCTATCCATCTTCTATCTGCCTCCCACTCTCTCCCTATTTATTTCAGAACCCCCTTCCCCTCCCCCTTTTCTGATGAAGGGTCTAGGCCCGAAACGTCAGCCTCTCTGCTCCTATGATGCTGCTTGGCCTGCTGTGTTCATCCAGCCCTGCACCTTGTTGTCTTGGAAGAACAGGTTAGGGAGGCGGGGATGAGCTGGACTGGTTTTGGGATGCGGTAGGGGGAGGGGAGATTTTGAAGCTCGTGAAACCCTGCAGCCCAATGGTATCAATGTGGATTTCACAAGCTTCAAAATCTCCCCTCCCCCTACCACATCCGAAAACCACTCCAGCTCGTCCCTGCCTCCCTAACCTGTTCTTCCTCCCACCTATCCCCTCCTCCCACCTCAAGCCGCACCTCCATCTCCCACCTCATCCCACCCCCTTGACCTGTCCATCCTCCCTGGACTGACCTATCCCCTCCCTAACTCCCCACCTACACTCACCTTTACTGGCTCCATCCCCGCCTCTTCGACCTGTTTGTTTCCTCTCCACCTATCCTCTCCTCTATCCATCTTCTATCCGCCTCCCACTCTCTCCCTATTTATTTCAGAACCCCCTTCCCCTCCCCCTTTTCTGATGAAGGGTCTAGGCCCGAAACATCAGCCTTTCTGCTCCTATGATGCTGCTTGGCCTGCTGTGTTCATCCAGCCCTGCACCTTGTTGTCTCGAGGCTATGCTGCAGCTGTATAGGGTCCTGGTGAGGCCACACCTGGAATACTGTGTGAAGTTTTGGTCTCCTTACTTGAGAAGAGATATACTAGCACTGGAGGGGGTACAGAGGAGATTCACTCGGTTGATTCCAGAGTTGAGAGGGTTGGATTATGAGGAGAGACTGAGTAGACTGGGATTGTACTCATTGGAATTCAGAAGAATGACGGGAGATCTTATAGAAACATATAAGATTATGAAGGGAATAGATAAGATGGAGGCAGGGAGGCTGTTTCCACTAGCAAGTGAAACTCGGACTAGAGGGCATCGCCTCAAAATAAAGGGAAGCAGATGTAGGACTGAGGTCAGGAGGAACTTCTTCACCAAAGGGTTGTGAACCTGTGGAATTCCCTGCCCAGTGAAGCAGTTGAAGCTACCTCACTGAATGTTTTTAAGGCAAGGCTAGATAAATGTTTGAACAGTAAAGGAATTAAGGGTTATGGTGAGTGGGCGGGTAAGTGGAGCTGAGTCTCAAAAAGATCAGCCATGATCTTATCAAATGGCAGGGCAGGCTCGAGGGGCCAGATGGCCTACTCCTGCTCCTAGTTCTTATGTCCTTATGTTCTTGTAATCGGGGAGGACAGTAGAAAACAATGCCCAAAGAAAATTACACTACATTTATACACCATTTTATGTGCTTTTATAACATCAGGGTGTGCACTGATTGGTTGTGTGAAATTGATTTATTAAAATTTGTAGAATGCAATTTCAAGAAACGAAATGGATCATTTGGAATGATAAATCCTCCCCTTTTTAGCTGATCATGTCAGCCACCTTGCCAGCTCTATCAATCTCTCTTGCTCAAGAAAAGCATCTATTTCCTTCATGAATTTGAGTCAAGTATTCGTTTCAGTAGTTTTCCCTGATATCGTATTCCAATGAAATATATTTACTGTAAAACAGAATTGTTAATTTAATCTATTCACTTTTACCTTCTAAATTTACCCCAGTATCGGAACCCTCTGCTATGACTGGAAATATCATTCTTTTCATAACTTCAAAGATTCTATGTTTACTTTACCAATAAGCAGCAGCTTAAACTACTTAGGCTTTTCATCCAGCTGTTTTCTAAGAGTTGGCATTATTTCTGTTCACCTACACCAGTAACTCAAGAATAGTCGATTGTTTTTGAGGTACCATGATGAGTAGAACAAGAATTAAGATTCTCATTAATTTCATACCAGTATAGTGTGTGATGGGAGTGGAGCACCAAGCTTCTCCTTCAGACCTGATGCACAGGCATCAAGGCACTGCTGTGACCACTCATGTGCATGGATATCCATCAAATTCATACCAGAACCTAGAGGAATGTAGCAAAGGTGTGATAATTATTTCAGGTTAGTTAGGGAGAAATGGGCCTAAGAACAATAAGTAATAAGTGTAGGCCATATGGCCACTCAACTCTGCATTCCCTGATCTTCAATACACTTTCCTGCTCTATCTTCAATACACTTTCCTGCTCTATCTTCACATTGTATAACTCCTTTGGCGTCCAAAACTCTGTCCCTCTTAGCACTAAACATGATCAGTGACAGATTATCCCCCCAGAGTATCTGGATGGAGAATTTCTCAGTCTTAAATTGCCACCCATTGAATGCTTAGACCATGACACCAACCCCTAGGCTCACCAGCCTGAGAAACAGCCTCTGACAGTATCAAGACCTCACAGATTTTTACAAGTTTTGCTGACAGTGCCTCTCATTCTTTTAAACTTCAGAAAGTATAGGTCCAATTTACTCAACTTCTCAGCACAGGAAAAGTTTTCATCTTAGGAAGCAATCTCATGAACGTTTCTTGTCACAACTTACCTGATAAGCCTACATCTAAACAGTTTTTGTTTTAATTTCATTATCAGAGGAATGTAATTGTTTACTGATGAATCATCAGCAAACATCCATACTCCTGGCCTTATAAGTGAGGGAAGATCACAAGCCTCACTCCAAAGATTTCAGCACACAATTTATATTGACACTGTAGTGAAATACAGAAAGAGTGCCAGATTTTTATGGATATCATCTGAATGAGATGTTAAACTGAGACTCTGATTTCACGTTCCTTTGGATATAAACAAGTGCTACACTACTCTTTGAAGAAGCAAGAGAAATTCCCCCAGTTTCCTAACTAACATTTATTACTCAACAAAAAGCAATGATTGATCACTGTTTGTGTCTTCCGCCCTATGGTGCTTGATGCCGGGAAAAACCCACTTCTGGCCAGTCAAGTGGTTGCGTAGCACATAATTTTGACAAAAGCAACACGCCTCTCACTGAGTCTCCGACTAGCAGCCAGAACCTCCGTCATCTCCATACCACTGGCACAAGTTAAAGTCTAAAGTCTAATTAAACTGTCTTTGGAATTCAGAGGTGTAGAGTCAAATCATCAGGAAATCCAGATCATTTCAAATTGCTGGTAATATTCCTTGAAAATTCCCTATGGAATGATACAGCATTTCTATTATATGCAACTCTTGACCTATTGATGATATAGCTTGGGCCAGCATTAAAAATGTAAATTATTAAATAAGCAATAAAGGATAGGCTAATTCCAATCAAAAGGAGACATGCTCACTGGTCCAAATGATCTTATTCTGTTTTAAACCTGTTTAGGTGTGATCGCCTAACTGTTCCCTACTAAACAGAGAGAGCACAAGCAATAAATAAGAGGAAACAACACATTAGTAATAAAATAAACTTACCATCACTATAATCAATTGCAGCATAGTCTCCAAGAAATAGGGAAGCAACAAAACTACTAACGAGAGAGATTCTCTACAGCCGGAGAAAGTAAGATATGTTAGTGCTTATGCACTATTAAAATACAAAAACCAGTTTGTTAGCATCATCTATTCAGCTCGCAATCAATCAAGGGAGCACAGGTAGATTAGAAATAAGAGAATAAAATGAACACTGCAATGAACAGACATGAGGAAGGGTTAGCTTTCTGTGCTGAACAAAAATAATAACTATTTTCAATAATATTATCTTCAATTTGTAGATATTAACGGTAAGATTGCTCAGTCTACAATGAGCTTTTTTACTCATATTTTAAACATTTCCCAGAAATCAATGTCCATAATTCAGACAGTAAAGCAATCCTCCAGGATTTGTACATAACTGTGCCCATTCAGCTGCACTGTATGAAGATATTTGTCTGATAGATTGCAGAACTTCTTCCAAACAAAAAGTTGGTGATAAGCATACAAAGATCTCTGATGTGGAGGTGCCGTTGTTGGACTGGGGTGGACAAAATCAGAAGTCACACAATACCAGGTTACGGTCCAACAGGTTTATTTGAAATCACAAGCTTTCGGACCTGACAAAGGAGCTACATTCCGAAAGCTTGTGATTTCAAATAAACCTGTTGGACTATAACCCTGTGTCGTGTGACTTCTGGCAAAGATCTCTGCCAGACAACATGAAACAACTTAGCTTGGTCTATAACATCCTGTTATTATTAAGGGTTTTTAAATAGTTGTTTAGATTTTCAACTGATTCACTGTCTACACAATAACATAACCAGGAGCAAGAGAAGGCTTTTCAGTGCCTCCAGTCATTTAATACAACTCCACTTTTCTGACCCCTTCCCAGAACCTGTTATTCCACTACTAATTGAAAATACATCTATCTCCTCCTTAACTTTAACCAATGACCCAGCATCAATTGTACTCTGGGGTACTGAATTCCACAGACACACGACCTTTTGAGAGGAGTAATTCCTCCTTTTAAATGTGCCTTCCCTTAACCTAAAACTAAGACTTCTCATTCTAGATTGCTCCACAAGGGGAAATTTCCTTTCTACATCAACTTTGTCAATCCCCTGTAACATCTAATATACCTCAATTAGATCTCCTCTCATTCTCCTAAACTCTAGCAAATAAACCACTTCATTTCTCCTAACCTAGTGAACCTTCTCTGAACTGCTTCCAATCCTTCCTCAACTAAAGGGACCAAAACTGTACACAATACTCGAGATGTGGTCTACCAATCATTTGTATAGATGCAACAACTCCACTCCTATGTTAAGATTTCGCTGCTTTTATTAATTTAATTTTTTAAAGAAATATGATTAAATATTTTACAATATACCTGTTTTCATTTAGGGATATGGATTTTAAAAACAGCAGCACAGGGATTTTGGTTTCAGTTCTTTGAAGGTAGCTTTTTCTTTTAAAGAGATCAAAAAGTATTTTGGGACAGTGACCCGTCATTAAAGCAATTGACTCAGTTAAGTGCCAAGCAGGATACGCATGATTCTAAATGATCAAGTGGTTACACTTCTGAAATTTGACATACAGGAAAAACAGACCATGGGCCACTAGTTTAATTTACTTTTGTCAGGATTTCAATTCAGGAGAACAGTCTCACCAGCAGAATAGTGTTAGTTTCTGAAGTCACCAAGCTATGAGAGTTTTTGTAGAAGTTTTCAAGTTGGTAGAACTGAAGCGGTTCAGACCAGCGGAGTTAGAAGAGGAGTCAGCAGTCCAAGGAGGAGAACTGGAAAGGGTCAGTTAAACAAGAAATTAAAGAGTTGAGGTAGGAGTGATATTTCTATGGGATTGAGTATCTGTAGAGTATATTTCTGGAAAACAGTTTGAAACATTGTTTACTCTTTATTTTAACTTTTTAAAAAAATATCATATGCTTTGATTTTTTTCTTTTAGAGTCATAGAGCTGTACAGCACGGAAACAGACCCTTCAGTCCAGCTCATCGGTGCCGGCCAAATATCCTAGATAAATCTAGTCCCATTTGCCAGCATTTGGCCCATATTCATCTAAACCCTTCCTATTCATATTCCCATCCAGATGCCTGTTAAATGTTGTAATTGTACCAGCCTCCATCATTTCCTCTGGCAGCTCGTTCCATACACACACTACCCTCTGCATGAAAAAGTTGCCCCTAAGGCCCCTTTTAAATCTTTCCTCTCTCACCTTAAACCTATGCTGTCTAGCTTTGGACTCCCCCACCCTGGGGAAAAGACCTTGTTTGTTTACCTCATCCATGCCCCTCGGGATTTTATAAAGTTCTATAAGGTCACCCCTCAGCCTCCAACACTCCCAGGGAAAATAGCCCCAGTCTATTCAGCCTCTCCCCATAGCTCAAACCCTTCAACGCTGGCAACATCCTTGTAAATCTTTTCTGAACCCTTTCAAGTTTCACAACATCCTTCCTATAGGAAGGAGACCAGAACTGCACACAGTATTCCAATTGTGGTCTAACCAATGTCCTATACTGCCTCAACATGACCTCCCAACTCCTATACTCAATGCACATTGCCCAATAAAGGCAAGCATACCAAATGCCTTCTTCACTATCTACCCGGGACTCTACTTTCAAGGAACCATGACCCTGCACTCCAAGGTCTCTTTTTTGTGTAATAAACTTGCATTCTTATGTCAAAGAACATTAACAGCTTTGTATGAATTTGTTCAATAACTAACTACCATGGTAGCCAACTGCAAAAATTAAACCTATAACCTATCACGGTGCAGAGCTGGATGAACACAGCAGGTCAAGCAGCATCATAGGAGCAGAAAGGCTGACGTTTCGGGCCTAGACCCTTCTATAACCTATCAAGCCAGGTTTCACTCTGGGGTCAGATTTGTTCAAAATACCATTGACTGGGAACATATATTGGTGAAAGGATGACTTCAGTTACTTAGTTGTAGTGAAGGCTGTGGTCCTCTTAAGTGCAATGCCACTGATTAGCTCTGGAACCTGGAGGGCCTATTACCCTTAACTGTGCTGGGAACCTATCTCGATCCAAAACATGTTTCAATACTTTCCTCTTTAATCAGGCTTTTGGTCATCTGTTCCAACATTTTTGTGGCTTATTGTCATAAATTGCCTTGTACAACTTCTGCAAAGCTTAGTTGGAACTTTTCATCAAATTAATAGTGAATATAAATACAAGCTGTGGCTGTTGGTCGAAGAGGTTGTTTATTTACTTGAAAATAAGTGATTGCAATAGGACACAATATCCATGACATAAATCATAACTTAGGCTTCAAGCTTCTCATTTTAAGTTTTAGCAAGAAGCAAATGTTATTTTGATTTCAAGATGGGTTTTCAAATAAAGCCTTACCAAAAACTCAATTCCAAAAGGGGGATACAGTGCAAAAGCAAGGAAGTTAAACTGAGCCTACGAAAAACACTAATTTAGCCTCATTGTATTGCATCCAATTCAGGACAATGCCCTTTAGGAAAGATGCAAAGAAAGATAAAGGATAATTTCACTAAATTTGTTCTAGAGATGGGGGACTTCTTTACATGAACAGATTTGAGGAGCTGGATTGTTTGCACTAAGGAAAAATGACAATAGATTTAATTGAAATGTTCGATATCAGAGGTTCAAGCAAAATAGATAGAGAGAACCAATTTGCTTTGGCAAAAGGAATGAGAACCAGAGAACACCAAATTAAGGTGAAAAGCAGAAGAATCAAAGGTGAGATAAGGAAAAACCACCCACACAGCAAATGGTTAGGATTTAGAATATACTACCTGACAGTATGGCAGAAGCAGATTCAATCAAGGTTTTCAATAGGGAACTAGTTAAATCCCTGAAAAGAACGGATTTATAGATTACAAAGCAAAAGCAGGGAGCAGAATTAGCTAAGTCATTCTTGCAGAGAACACAATGCCAAATGGTCTCCTGCTGTAACTGGTCTATGATTATGAGTTTTTTTTAAAATTCAATCATGGGATGAAGGCATTGCTGACTGAGCTATTTATTGCCCATCCCCACTTGCCCTTGAGAAGGTGGTAAGCTGCCTTCTTGAACGCTATAATCCATGTGCTGTAGGAAGACCTGCTATATATTGTCATATGTTGCATGTTTTTAACCTGATTACTTAGTCTATATGTAATTTTCTTATGCAAGTCAAACTGCAATTTACCCCTTGGGCTGCAAGTGTGTCTTGAATAAAATACCAATACTATTCCTAATACCGCAGCATTTAAAGCCTTTCTTGCCCATCAAATTGTCAATTCTGTTAATTCCCATTGTCTTCTCGTTTTGTTTTTGGTTGAGTTCCAAAGGCCAGAGTTAGTCAGAATTTTGAATTAAAACAGCAGCCAATGATGATAAGTGTTTAACATATTTAAAAGGCAGGACTGCCTGATGTACAATGGTTTCCCAAACACTGTAGTGCGCACACAAGTCAAAAGTAGAAATTGATGAGTTCCTGTCAGTTTCTTGATGTGCCAGCACTTCCAGTTGTTTTAATTTGCCACTCATACAGATGTCCGTGCATCTTAATTGGTTGAAATCCAAATCTACTTGGGTCTCAATGCATGAGCACTATATTATAGAGCCATCAGACCATGGAAACACTGTATTCAGTGGTCATAAACTACTGTCAAGATGAAAGCGTGCATTTCACCACTAACAAAAAGACTGTTTTTCTGCCTTGCAACAAGTTTCTCACATTTACCTCAGTTTTCTTGTAATCTTCAGGGTTCTTTTTGTTAATCTTTGCAACTTGATTTCCTGTGAAGCGCTAAGAGGTGCAAAATATATAAATGTTTAACAACTAGTCAAAAACAATCCTAGTTCAAGTATTTATTGCTTCATTTCACTTGACTGAAATGCTAAAGTGCAACTTACTCCACTTAAAATCTTTAGAAAATAATAACTAGGAGGAATAATCAATTCAGCCCTTCAAACCTGCTCTAGTAACCATTTATGGTAATGATTTGACACCAGTAATGTTGTTAGAAAAGAGTCTGCTATCAAAAATCAGTTAAATTTTCTTCCCATAACATTCAAGCTAATGTTCAGAGCTTTTCTCAGAAGCTGATTAGCAAAATCCAACATTTACTTATTGCAAAAACTTTAAATGCAACAAGGCTTCAAAGTAGCTTTTAATTTGGTTTTACATAGCTGGTTACACTGCAACAGTGTGAAGTCAAATCAATGGAAGAACAATACATGAAGGCAATCTTACACAGTTTGACAAAACTGGTTCTACCAGTTCATAATTCCCTCATTATTCTGTACATTTTTGGTGTATGCGTTGCAATTAAATAATAATTTTAATTATAATATGCTAATAATCTGTTTTCCTGTTATTACTACCAAGGTGGATAATACTTAATCTATCATGCATTTATCCATTCACTCAACTTGTCCAAATCACACTGAAGCATCTCTGCATCCTCCTCATAGCTCATCCTCCCATTCAGCTTTGTGTCATCTGCAAACTTGGAGGTATTACATTTAGTTCCTGCATCTAAATCATTAATATATAGTGTGAATAGCTGAGGTACAAGCAGTGATTTCGGCTGTACTCCACTAGTTGCTAGCAACCACATAGAAAATACCCCATTTTTATCCCACCCTTTGTTTCCTGTCCACCAGCCAGTTTTCTATCCATGTCAGTACACTACCCTCATTCACATCCACTTCACTTTTATACACAGAGTTTAGAAGAATGAGGGAGATCTCAGAAACCTATAAAATTCCATCAAGATTTTTTTTTCTTTATTCATTTACAGAGATGATTGGCATTATTGACCATCCTTAATTGCCCAGAGGACAGTTATGAGTCAACCACATTACTGTGGGTTTGGAGTCACATGTAAGCCAGACCAGGTAAGGATGGCAGTTTCCTTCCCTGAAGGACAATAGTGAACTAGATGGATTTTTTTGACAATCAGCAACAGATTCATGACTATCACTAGACTCTTAATTCCAGATATTTATTCCACCAACTGCCGTGGTGGGATTTGAACTCATGTCACCAGGTCATTACCTGGGTCTCTGGGTTAACAGTCCAGTGATAATACCACTAGGCCATTGCCTCCCCTAGCAAAGGTAAATATAGGAAGAATGTTCCCAATGACTGGGGAGTCCAGAATCAGGGCTCACAGTCAATAGTTACAGTTTGGCCATTTAGGACTGACATAAGGAGAAGTGTCTTTACTCAAAGTGGTGAGCCTGTGGAATTTTCTGCCACAGAAGATGTTTGAGGCCAAAACATTGAACGTTTTCAAGAAGGAGAAATAGTTTTTAAGGCTAAAGGGATCAAAGGGTATGAGCAGAAAGTGGAAACAGAGTACCTTTCTTTAAACCTTTTCACTCATGAGACATGGGCCTCACTAACTGGCTAGCATTTATTGCCCCTTGAGAAGGTGGTGGTGAGCTACCTCCTTGAACTGCTGCAGTCCATGATAGACCCACAATACTCTTAGGAGGAGTTTCCAGGACTTTGACCTAACAATTGCGAAAGAACAGCAATATATTTCCAAATCAGGATGGTGAATGGTTTGAAGGGGAACTTGCAAATCATAGTGTTCCCATGTATCTACTGCCCTTGTCTTTGTAGGTGGAAGTGGTCGTGGGTTTGGAACGTGCGTCTAAGGGTTTCTTTAATGCATCTTGTAGACAGGCAAAACTGCAGCTACTGAGTGTCAGTGGAGGAAGGAGTGGATGCTCATGAATGTGGTACCAATAAATTGTGCTGTTTTGTCCTGTAAGGTGTAAAGTTTCTTGAGTGTTGTTGGAGCTGTACTCATCATCATAGAATGCCTACAGTGTGGAAACAGGCCCTTCAGCCCAACAAGTCCACACCAACCCTCAGAGCATCCCAACCAGACCCATTCCCCCATAACCCACCTAATCATCACTGAAAACTACGGGCAATTTAGCATGGCCAATCTACCTAGCCTGCACATCTTTGGACTGTTGGAGGAAACCAGAGCACTCAGAGGAAACCCATGCAGACAGGGGGAGAATGTGCAAACTCCACACAGACAATCACCTGAGGGTGGAATCAAACCCAGGTCCCTGGCAATGTGAGGAGCAGTGCTAACCACTGAGCCAACATGCCACCCACAAGACCGTGCACCTGATGTGCATTTGTCCAGGCAAATGGGGTGATTTCCATCACACTCGTGACTTTTGCCTTGTAGACAATGGACAGGCTCTGGGGAGTCAGGAGACGAGTTATTCATTACAATATTCCTTTCCTCTGACCTGCTCTTCCAAATAAGGAATTTATATGGCAAGTCCAGTTCAGTTTCTGGTCAATGGTAACCCCAAGAATGTGGATAGTGAGGGGTTCATTGATAGTAACACCATTGAATATTAAGGGGCAAAGGTTAGACTGTCACTTAACGGAGAAGGACATTGCCTGGCATTTGTGTAGTGTGAATGTTACTTGTCACTCGTCAGCCCAAGTTTAGATCTTGTCCAGATCTTGTTGCATTTGAACACGGACTGCTTCAGTATCTAAGGAATCGTGAATGGTGCTGAATATTGTGCAATCGTCGGCAAACATCCCCACTTCTGACTTTATGATGGAGGGAAGGTCATTGATGAAGCAGCTGAAGATGGTTGGGGTGATGACACTACTGTGAGGATCTCCTGCAGAGATGCCCTGGAGTTCGATGACTGAACTCCAACAAGTACAATTATCTTCCTGTGTACCAGGTATGACACCAACGAGCATAGAGTTTGCTCCCTAATTCCCATTGATTCCAGTTTTGCAAGGGCTCTTGGATGCCACATTCGGTCAAATGCAGCCTTGATGTCAAGGGTTGTCACTCTCACCTCACCTCTGGAATTCAGCTCTTTTGTCAATGTTTGAATCAAGGCTGTAATGAGGTCAGGAGCTGAGTGGCTCTGGCGGAACCTAAATTAGGCATCACTGAATAGGTTATTGATTGATTCATTGATTTTATTGTCACGTGTAGCGAAATACAGTGAAAAGCTTTGTTTATGAGTAGTACAGGCAGATCACAGCAAGCAAAGGATGTATAGATCAAAAAAACTTAGAGGAATACAGGTTATATTATTTGAGGCTAGAGTCCACTCAACAGTCTGATAACGGCCGAAAAGAAGCTGTTCCTGAATCTGCTTGTGCGTATGTTCAGGCTTCTGTACCTTCTGCCAAACCAAGTAAATAGAGTCCATAGATGGAAGATTGGCTTCTGTGATGGTCTGGGCTGTGCACACAACATTCTGTGGTTTCTTACGGTCCTGGGCAGAGTGGTTGCCATACCAGACCGTTATGCACCTGGGCAGTATGCTTTCAATGGTGCATCTGTAGAAGTTGGTGAGGTTATCGCTGAGCAGGTGCTGCTTGACAACACTGTTGGTGACACCATCCATCACATTACTGATGATCGAGAGTAGACTGATGTCTTGATATCATATGGGGTGAACAAAATTGGCTGAAGACTGGTATCTGTGAGGCTGGGGATGAATCAATCAACTCAGCATTTCTGTTTGAAGCTTGCTGCAAATGCTTCAGCTTTATCTTTTGCACTGATACGCTGGGCTCTTCCATCATTCAGGATGTGGATATTTGTGGAGCCTCCTCCTCCAATGAGTTGTTTAACCACTTAACCACCACCACTTCCAAATGGATGTGGCAGGACTGCAGAGCTCAGATCTGATCCCTTGGTTGTGGGGACACTTCACTCTGAATAGGATGATCAGCCATGATCATTTTGAATGGTGGAGCAGGCTCAAAGGGCTGAATGGCCCACTCCCATTTCTATTTTCTATGTTTCTATGTTTTTAACCTGCGTCACAGCAATTTAAACTTTGCAATAAAGTTCATTCAAATAGTTTGTAGTGAATATTATTTTTCAAAACATATCTTTAAAAATGGAACATCACATTTATTTAGAGTCATAGAGCTGCACAGACCCTTCCCTCTAACTCGTACAACCTGACCAGATATCCTCAACTGATCTGGGCCCATTTCCAGCATTTGGCCCATATCCCTTTAAACCCTTCTTATTCATATCTAGATGCCTATTAAATGTTCTAATTGCACCTGGCTCCACCATCTCCTTTGGCAGCTCATTCTAAACTCGCACACCTTCTGCATGAAAAAGTTGTCCCAAAGGTCTCTTTTAAATCTTTCCCCTCTCACCTTAAACCCCTCTAGACTTGGATTGACCAATGAAGGGAAGTGTGCCAAACATCATCTTCACCCATCTACCTGCGACTCCACTTTCAAGGAACTATGCACTTGCACTCCAAGGCCTTACTATTAACTGTATAAGCCCTGCCTGGTTTGCCTTACCAAAATGCAACACCTCACATTTATTTAAATTAAACTTCATCTACTACTGCTCGATCCATTGGACCATCTGATCTAGGTCCCATTATACTCTGAGATAATCTTCTTCATTGTCCACCAATTCACTTCATCACTGATTTTAGTGTCAAACTTACTAACCATACCTTCTATATTCACATCCAAATCATTTATATAATGGTAAAGAGCAGTGAACCCAGTACCAATCACTGCAGCACACTGCTGGTCACAGACCTCCAGTTTAAAAATCAACCCTCTACCACCACCCTCTCTCTCTGACCTACTAGCCAAATTTGTATCCAACTGGTTAGCTCTCCCTGGATTCCATGTGATCTAATCTTGCTAACCAGTCTACAATGCAGAACCTTGTTGAATGCCTTTATAAAATTGCCTTTATCTAAACTGCTTTGGCACCTCTTCAAAAAACTCAATCAATTTAGGAGACACAACTTCCCATGCACAAAACCATGTTGACTATTCCTAATCAGTCCTTGCCTTTATAAATCCTGTCCCTTAGGACCCTTTCCAATAACTTACCCACCACTGATGTCAGGCTTACCGCTCCATAGTTCCTGGATTTTCCTTACCATCTTTCTTAAATAATGGCATCACATTAGCCACCCTCCAGTCTTCCAGCACCTCAGCCATGGCTGGCAATGATACAAATATCTCAGCCATGTGCCCAGCAATCTTTACCCTCAAATTCTGGGGTACCCTGATCAGGTCCCATGGATTTTTCTACCTTTATGCATTTAGAAGCCTCCAGCGCCTCCTCTACTGTAATATGAAGTCTTTTCAAGATATCACTATTTATTTTCCCATTTAATACAGGCTCTTTGTGTGTGTGTGTGTGTGTGTGTGTGTGTGTGGAAATATACATAACACATTCTTCTAAAATAACATGATTTCAAAGGGTGACATCTTGCACTTGACAGTGCTTGTCTGGGTGAACACCAGGCTTTTAGAGATGGTGTGGGTGCAAGGGATGTTGATGAATTTGTGATATCCACTGAATAACAAATTATTCTGGGAACAGAGCATGTTAAGATGGGCCAGAGTCAGATGTGAGGAACATCCATAGGGACAGGATAGGTAGCTTGTGAAGCACGGTTGGTAAGGTGAAGTAAGAATACTTGATAGGTCTTGCAGCAGATATGCTTTCAAACAAATTCGACATAATTCGGACTTGGCCAAAAAAGTTACATTCAGCCCAAAATTATTTGTTAACTCCGTATTATAATTGTATGTAGTTTGCCTAACATACAGGATTTAAGATTTCAGAACATCTAGTGAGGTAGAGACATTCAAACACTAAACTAAAACTGTGCCTCATGTACGTGTATAGATTTTAAGCTATCGAAAGTTATGAGACTTTAAGACCATTTGTTCCAAAAATCACATAATGCCACATTAGTCCTCAAAGTAGTATATCAGTAAATAACATCCAAAGCAAATATTTATGCATTGCCTGTCAATATGTTCCCACTTCTTCCCTCATTGGAAGCTACAGCATCACTCAATGCTGTTGTTAATTTGTTCAATTTTCACTTTTGCAATCTTTGGACTAAAAACATACCTCATAAGCACGTGATCCGGTGATGTCAGCAAGTTTCTGTGGCCCTCCAACAGACTTTTCTAGTTGCTGGCATTCTGCAGTGGTACTGGAGTCCATCCAGATAGGAGAGTCTTTTACAGCGAAACTAGACTAAAGAGAAAAGTCGGTGGCGGGGGGGAGAATTCTTTGAATAATGATTACATTAAATACCTGATAAAAAATAAAAGCCGAAAAAACCAGATACTGTCAATCAGAAACAAAAGCAGAAATTGCTGGAAAAATTCAGCAGGTCTGGCAGCATCTCTGAAGAGAAATCAGAGTTAACTTTTTGGATCTTTTGGTCCTTCTCCTCAGAACTGCTGAGCTTTTTTCAGCAATTTCTGTGTTTGTGTTAAATGCCTACTTAGATTTGTCAATAATTTCAAAGTTTCCAGCAACTGAGTGACAATTTGCAACTTTTATCAACTCTCTCAAATTAGGATGTGCGATTAGGAAACATACACGCACAGCAGACAAGCTCACAAACATAAAAAAAATTTAAACAGTGGAAAAAATTCCAGACATGTAGTGACTATTCAATGCGTGCTGAAAAGCATCACTGTATAATCAGTGGAAAGGATGTGGGACTACTTCTTCCCCAATCAATAATCCAGCTTCAAGGAACCTCCATGCTAGACAGCCTTTTTTAAATAGTTCCTGGTTCCAGGACTCCGTATGATGTTTGGAGGACTTCTGCAGAATTGGACTAAGAAAAATAATTACTTAAAACAAAAGGAGGATTTTCCATTTGGGGTCAGGACCCGGACTTCAAAACAATTTCTCAGTCGTAACCGAACTCCATGGCAGGGAAATAGTATTAGGTCACAACAATTCTGGAAAATAGACATGGATGGGTTGGAGGATATATTTGGCAGCTGGTTCAAGGCAGTACAAAGGAGGCAGGAGTCAGAAAGTGCAAAGGACTGACTGCAGAAAGTTTCCAACACAATGGCAGGTAGAAGTGAGGATGACAAGAGGCAGAGATCAGGCACCAATGGCAGTTACCCCACAGTTTAGTGATGTTGCCTTGAGGTCATGTTGGAAGTGGTGTGGGAAAGATACAGGAGGGGGCCTCTGGAGGGTAGCAGAAGAGACGACCCTGTCAAAGTATGAAGCTTTTTCCCAGGGTGGAGGGCTCAATTACTAGAGGTCACAGGTTCAAGGTGTGAGGGGAAAAGTTTAAAAGAGATATGCGAGGCAAGTTTTTCACACAAAAGGACGGGAGTGCCTGGAACGTACTGCCAGAGGTGGCGGTGGAAACAAACACATTAGCAGCATTCAGGAAGCACCTGGACAAATACATGAATTGGAAGGAAATAGAGGGATACAGATCCTGTAATTGAAGACTATTTTACAATGGTCAGCGCAGACTTGGAGGGCTGAAGGGCATGTTCCTGTGCTGTATTGTTCTTTGTTTTAAATCAGCATAATATCCCTTTTAGACGAGGGGCACGGCAATGTCTGTGCAGTATCACTGGGATCCTCAGACGACAGCAAAGCCACAGGCCCAGCATCATCATGTCATTCAAGAGCACCTTCCAACAGTGCAGATATAGTTGCATCAGAGGGCCTACATACAATTGGGAAAATTAGTAGTGGATGAACAGCATGTCATGAACATACAGGAGGAGTGAGCAAGCTAGCTGCAGCCCTGGGCAGTTTCCCTCAAATGTGAGTAAATAGACACAGCCATGGAGTTATATCCTCAGGAGCTACAAGAAATTAAATTCTAATTAACTAGCAGTGAGATGTCTGTCTGTCTACATGTCAGAGATCCCTGAGGCAATGTGGAGACATGGACTAAGAATGGAGGAGCCCACATGAGCTCCTACGTAGAGTGGTCATCCTCATGGAGGACCGTATACAACAGCACCCTGAGCGGTCACAAGAACAGTGCACTGGTAGGCATAAATAGCACACAGCATTCTATAGCATTGGTCAGTATTCCTAATAGTGCAAAAACGCATGTGGATGCCAGTAGCACTCCGCTGGTACTCACATCCAGAGGTTTATTAAAGGGTTGAGGAAATCACTGATGAGGAGGGCAGCACTTCTCATGGGCTGCCACCATTATCAGTGGCACTCATGTCCCTTCTGGCTATAGAATTTATGTGATGGAGGATATCCCTGCATTGACACTGGTGCACTACCCTCTGAAGACGCCCCACTGACATATCCACAAGGACAGCTGCCACAGGCATCTCAGTCACATGGAGACATCCAAGCAGCTGCCTCCACCTCATCCAAGGCCATAAACGGAACACTATTTAGAAGGATTATGGGGAAAAGGCAGGAAAGTGAAGTTGAAGATTATCAGATCAGCTGTTGAAGGGCCTACTTTTGGTCCTATATCTATCTTTTGGTTTTAGGTCGTTGAATCTTTCATTTCACTCAACAGTTTACTTGAGTATCTTTCACTTGCGATGGTATAAGTTGTTATTTATTATTTGAACTGGAAATGTTTGGTCATGATTGCAGACATGTGACTTTCTATTCTTTAATAGCAAAACTGGAAAAGGGAAGTGATGGAGGGAATTAAGGCTCTTTGAATCATCACTGGACTCAAAACACTAACTCTGCTTTCTCTGCACAGATGTTACTAGACTGGCTGAGTTTCTCCGGCAATTTCTGTTTCTGTTTCTGAATTACTGAGATCGCTGGACAAATGTGGGCTGTGATGTAAACTGAGGTTTATATATATTTTTAATATCATTTATTGTAAGCTTGGGTTTTTGGTATTTGAGTCAGTAACCTGTGGGTTTTGTATGTGTCTGAAGTTAATAATTAACTTGAAAGTATTCTGTAGTCATACGGATTTTGTTTAAAACAGTTTTTGAGGCCTAGTTTTAGAATAGGTTTTTGTGCACTACTAATGGATTTTTGTTTACCTTAGATTGTTTTGCGATCCAGCAAGACAAATAATGCAGCCTCAAGGTTTGTTAGAGATTTCTGGAACTTTTTTCTTTTTAAGGGAAACATCTATAGATTGGAGTAGGATTTTTATTTAGTTTTACTTTGAGTTTGGAGCAGTCCTGTGAAGTCCTTGGATGAAGATGTTTCGTACATACCAGCGTTCCTGAGAAGGAAAGGATAGTGAAACCAGTTTACCCTGTAGTAAAGAGTTAGTGACAGACCAGCAGTATTGGGATAAAACCCTGAAGAGGCTATTTAAAGCCAATTATATTTAAGATCAGGTGTCTAATTGCTCCATGAAAAAGCTATCTGCAGTTCCTGTCCACAAGTTTAAGTTACAAGTGATCTAAACCTGTCAAGTTGTTAGGGACAGGAACTCTAGTGTCAGTACTGTATGAGTGGTGTTTCTGAGTACTACATAAAATGTGTTTTGGCTACCATATAAAAGCTGTTGTTTTTCTTCCAATTTATGAAGGGGTGTTTTGGTATTAATGGGATTATGCTTTTATTGTGGGTTTAAAAATTTTGGAATTGACTATCTCCAAATACCTGATACCATCCAGCATCCACAGTTCTGTGCTCTTTTTGTCATTTTTTTTAAACCGCCATACCAAGTTCCACTATTGTCTTGCTTGTGGGTCAGCTGAATTCACAATGCTCACTGTACATCCCTCTTATAGCGCAGTGACTCCTGTGTGGTTAAAACCATCTCAACTGATCATCTGCACACAGATCACTTTCTTTACTAACTCTAATCACCCAACGTGACTGTGTGCCAAATTGTTCATTTGTCTGCTTCAGTTCCCACCCTCAGTGGGGCACCAAAATCCTGTCTAAAGAGTGAATGAAAAGGCAAAATTCTGTCCACCTGCTTCACGGCACAGCTCCCAGAGGTGAAAATGAGCAATCTAATGCAGGACATCTGTTTTATAAAGCAGTTGATTTAAATACAGACATGTAATCCTATTAACCTGCTCTACGCATAATTCAAAATCTGTAAAGGATTGAATCCCTCATAAACTTTTCACAGTCTATTATGAGCAAAATTTGTTCAAATCCTCACCTCCAATATCTGATACAGAGAATGATCACTTGACATGTTATTCAAGGTCTGATTGGCTCCCTCTTTCCAATAAACACTACCATGTTGCTGTGAAAGAAACAAATGTATTTTAACAAGCCTTTGCAAGAAGCACAAAAAAATTAATTTTATTTGAAAAAATTAACATCACTTACTTGACCAGTGCCAGACAAAGATTTCAATTTAGAAAAATCAAAGTTTGAGGTTTTCATCCTCTCTAGAAGTATATCCAGGGCCTGGAAATACAAGAATACTTAATATCAATATTCAAGAAACATCACAAATGATCACTGTCTGCATTTCATCTTCTTGTAAGGTTATATTTGACAGGATCATTCTGATACATTATGAATTCCTTTCCTTCAAATCATCAGTGCTATCTTTACAAAAACAGGGTTAAAAGAAAATATAAACCCAAAGGCTAGATGTCTTTCTAACCAACCAGTCATTTTTAATGAATTGACATTGCTCTCAATCTATGCAGAATGTCCACAGTGGCTTGTGTCAGTTGACAGGATTCTCATCTCAAGAGTCATAAGGTTCTTAGTTCAAGTCCCACTCCAAGGCCTTAACAAAATAATCAAGGCTGATAGTCCAGTGAATTACTAAGGGAGTGCTGCAATGTCAGAGGTGCTATCTTTTGATAAGATGTTAAACCAAGGCCCCACCTACCTACTTGAGCGGAGGGAAAAGAGTCCATTGCATTAAGCTGGAGGAGGACAGGAAAATTATTTCCAGTGTCCTGACCAATATTTGACACTTGACCAACAACACAAAAACATCACATTAGTGTTTGTGAAAGTTGGCTGCTTATTTTTGTACACTGTAACAGTGAATACACTTAAAATGGTTTCACTCACTGTAAAACCCCCAGAGGTGTCCAGATAAAAGCTTTACGTAAATGCAAGTTGTTTCACAAAAATTTTTCATATGCTCGAGGAGCCACAATGCAGAATGCACATGTCTGTTGTGTTAATGTCACATCAATTATATATTTAAGATTAAGACTAAACCAGTAATAGATATTGATTAACTGTCTTTGAACACACAAAAAGAAACATAAAAAGGGACTAGAGGGTCTTGCAGCACAGTGGCACGGACCCCAACTCAGAACTCAAGTTTACATTCAAATCTCACCTGCCTAAAAGGTACATAATAACATATTTTTAAAATAAATGAATGAAAAAGAAGCTTGAGGGCTTGTAGTAAAGTGTCCGTATCTCTATCTCTAGGCCAATAAGTCTGGGTTCAAGTTTCACCTCCCGTAGAGATATGTCATAAAATGTTTAAAATGGTAAAGAGTCATAGAGATGTACAGCACGGAAACAGACTCTTCGGTCTAACTAGTCCATGCCAACCAGATATCCTAAATTAATCTAGTCCCATTTGCCAGCATGTGGCCCACATTCCTCTAAACCCTTCCTATTCATATACCCATCTAGGTGCCTTTTACGTGTAGTAATTGTACCAGCCTCCACCACTTCCTCTGGGAGCTCAATCCATACACACACCACCCTCTGCATGAAAAAGTGGCCCCTTATATCCCTTTTAAATCTTTCTCCTCTCACCTTAAACCTGTGCCCTCTTGTTTTTCACTCCCCCACCCTGTGTATAAGACCTTGTCTATTTACCCTATCTATGCCCCTCATGATTTTATTCACCTCTATAAGGTCACCCCTCAGCCTTTGACACTCCAGGGAAAATAGCCCCACCCTATTCAACTTCTCCCTATAGCTTAAACCCACCAATCCTGGCAAAATCCATGCAAATCTTTTCTGAACCCTTTCAAGTTTCACAACATCCTTCTTACAGCAAGGTGACCAGAATTGCACACAGTATTCCAATAGTGGCCTAACCAATGTCCTGTACAGCCACAACACGACCTCCCAACCACTATACTCAACGCACTGACCAATAAAGACAAACATACCAAACACTTTCTTCACTATCCTGTCTATCTGCGCCTCCACTTTCAAGGAACTATGAACCTGCACTCCAAGGTCTCTCTCTTCAGGAACACTCACCAGGGCCTTACTATTAAGTGTATAAGTCCTGTCCTGATTTGCCTTTCCAAAATGCAGTACCTTACATTTATATAAATTAAACTCCATCTGCCGTTCCTCAGTCCATTGGCCCATCTGATCAAAATCCCGTTGTACTCCGAGGTAACCTTCTTCGCTGTCCATTACACCTCGAATTTTGGTGTCATCTGCAATCTTACTAACCGTACCTCCTATGTTCACATCCAAATCATTTATATAAATGATGAAAAGCAGTGGATCCAGCACCAATCCTTGTGGCATACCACTGGTCACAGGACTCCATTCTGAAAAGCAGCCCTCCACCACCACTTTCTGTCTTCTACCTTCTAGCTAGCAAATGGCTAGTTCTCCAGTGTTCTATGTGATCTAACCTTGCTAACCAGTCTACCATGAAGAACCTTGTCGAACGCCTTACTGAAGTCCACATAGAATACGTCCACCGCTCTGCCCTTATCAATCACCTTCCTTACTTCTTCAAAAAACTCAATCAAGTTAGTGAGACATGACTTCCCATGCACAAAGCCATGTCGACTATCCCTAATCAGTCCTTCCCTTTCCAAATACATGTAAATACTGCCCCTCAGGATTCGCTCCAACAACTTTGTCAGGCTTACCAGTCTATAGTTCCCTGGCTTTTCCTTACCATCTTTCTTAAATAGTGGCACCACATCAGCCAACTTCCAGTCTTCTGGCACCTCACCCATGGCTATTGATGATACAAATATCTCAGCAAGGGCTTGATTAAAAATAATTTTTAAAACCTGAATAAAACAACATTTTGATTTGATTTTAATGGTTTCCTTTACAGTTTATTTTGTATTAGAGTGCTCCTTTGAGGATGCAGAGATCTGTAACGTTGCATGCCAGAATAAACAAAATATCACGGATAAGTACTGTGCCTTGGTTCCTACTTCACCATTTACCTTGGATTCAATTTAACATGTTAAAACAAATCCTCTTTAGACAAACTGCTCAAAGTTCATATAAACAAGTACTGATCTCCAAACTTATTATGTGCAAAAACAGCTCAGGACCTTGAACTGTGACACTTACACGAAGGCATATTTAGCAGATGATAGGAGGGAGGTGACGGCCTAGGGGTATTATTGCTGGACTGTTAATCCAGAGACCCAGTTAATATTCTGGGGACACTCATTCGAATCCCACCATGGCAGATAGTGGAACTTCAATTCAGTAAAAATCTGGAATTCAGGGTTTAGTGATGATCATGAATCTGTTGTTGATTGTCCGGAAAAACCCATTTTGTTCAGTGATGTCTTTTAGGGAAGAAACTGCCATGCTTACCTGGTCTGGCCTATATGTGACCCCAGACCCACAGTAATGTGGATGACTCTTAACTGCCCTCTGGGCAATTAGGGAGGGGCAATAAATTCTGGACCGACAGCAATACCCTTATCCCACGCATGAAGAATAAAAAAATGATTTCACATTCATACCTTTACCCACAGTAGCACTGGTGTTGTAACAGTCAGCTTGTCATCATGTACGTGGGCACCACCCTGAGTTCTAGAAATAAACAGCACCGCTGAGGAACACAACTTTTATTCTAGTTAAGATGATAAAACAACACTGAATAAGGGAACATCATTTATCTAATCAAATCTATCCTTTACACCGATCACAGATAATCTATAGCAATGTGGACTCCATTAGAAGTATTTCAGCTCACAAGACAACATTCCACATAAGTACTTCATACATGCAAAATTCTCCAGAATGGTTACCAATCCTCACATCTCAAATGTAATCTCCATATCAACCAAAAGAAAGAGATGATGAAGTAGGTCATTTGACCCTTCAAAACAGCCCTACCATTCAGCAAGATCACAGCTGATCATAAGACCAAAAGACATAGGAGCAGTGATAGGCCATTCAGCCTTTTAGGACTGCTACTTCAACTCAACCAACTAGCTCTATTCCAAACATCCTGCAAATATTAGGACTCAAAGATCAACTGATCTCTGCCTTGACTGAACAATATCCTCATTCTGTGGCTATGACTATGTAGTCAGAGTCTGCAACCAGGGAAACATTTTCTCAAGACCCTTAAAAAAAATTATATGCTTTAGTTAGATCACCTGTCGTTCTTCCAAATTCAAGGGATTATAAAGACTATGTTTACTTATGTCGCCTCACAGGACCATCCTTTCAATCCACTGAACCTTTGTTACATTCCCTCCAAGGCAGTATCTCTCGTTGATGGACGACTCTTGTTTACGCACATAGTACTCCAGATGTGAAATGTCGCAGAGACCTGTGCTCGAGCATCAATCATTCACAATTTATTTTAATCACTCAAATGATGAAACAGAATATTTGGCTTGCTAAATTTACAATTACACAAAGATAAGTAGGAAAGTAAGTTGTGAAAAGAATGTAAAGAATCTGCAAATTGATATTGCTAGGTTAAGTGGGTGAGCAAAAAATTGTGAATTTGTCTACTTTGGCAGTAAGACTGGAAAGGAATGTATTATTGAAATCGAGAAAGATTGCGCATCCCTAAGGTACACAGGGTTCTGGTTGTCCTGGTGCATGCATCACAAAATGTTACACCAAGTAATCAGGAAGGCAACAGGAATGAAATATAGAACAGATATATAACCCTAACCCGTCCATCTTCTCTCCCACCTATCTGCTCCTCCCACCTCATTGTCCAATCCCCACCACTGCTTACTTGCACTCACCTATCACCATGCCACCTACCTTCTCCAGCCTCACCCCTCCCCTCTCTATTTATTTCCGAGTTCTCTTCCCCCTCCCCCATTTCTGAAGAAGGATCCCGACCCAAAACGTCAACTTTCCTACTCCTCTGATGCTGCCTGGCCTGCTGTGTTTCTCCAGCTCCACACTGTGTTATCTCTATATATAGGAACATTTTGCTACAGTTCTACAGGGCATTGGTGAGACCTTCACACAGTAATGAACAGTTTTGGTCTCCTTATTAAGAAATGATATTAACGATGTCGAAACAGTCCAGAGAAGTTTCACTTAACTGATATCTAGATAAGGGAATTATCTATGGAGGAAAGGTTGGACAAGCTAAGCCTGTATCCATTGGAGTTTAGAAAAATAAAGGTAATCTTATTGAAGCATGTAAGATTCTGACAGAATTGGACAAGGTGGATGCTAAAAGGAAATTTCTTGTTGCAAGTAGAATGAGATATTATATTTTAAAAATAAGGAGGTTTCCATTTAAGACAGAGGATTTTTTTTTCTCTCAGAAACTAAGAGTCTTTGGAACCCACTTCTCCAAAGACCAATGAAGGCAGGTTAACTGATTTTTTTTTTTTTTAAACAGAGGTATCCAGATTATTCATTAACAAGAGAGTTTAAAAATCAGCAAGCTTTGCACAAGCAGCTGAGAGAGTACATCCAGAGTGAGGCACTGCAGAGTGAAGATGTGTTTCTGGGATTTTGGAGCAGCGTGGGAATTCAGTGTTTTTAGTTCATGGTTTGTCAAGTCTTTTTAACTGGATAAGTTGAGGTCCAGGATCAGGGGCCAAAGACAAAGCAAAGTTCTGAAGAAGGGTCCCGCCCCAAAACGTCAACTTCGTACTCCTCTGATGCTGCCTGACCCGTTGTGTTCCTCCAGCTCCACATTGTGTTGACTCTGACTCCAGCATCTGCAGTTCTTGGTATCTTCAAGCAAAGAGTAACATCACTAGAAAATCACAAGTTCATTGGTTGGTAACAGCTGCTAATTTGATTTTCTAGAAGTTGCTTTCAAATTAAAGGTAAATAAGATAAATACTTCACAGATTAATAAACTAAAGCCTAACTGGAAACTTATAACAAAACAAATTAAGAACTAAGTGAATAAAATAGATATGCAGGGCCAGGTGATGTATTGTACCTGCTTGATGTGGGAGGTGGTGGGCCCTATTGTTGTTAGGAACATAAGAACTAGAAGCAGGAGTAGGCAATTCCACCCCTCGAGCCTGCTCCACCATTTAATACAACCAAGACTGATCTCATCTCAGCCTCAACTCTAATTTCCTACTCGTGCACCATGAACCTTCAAATTAATAATTAAAAATCTGTCTGTCTCTTCCTTGACTTCAGTCAATATCCCGGCATTCACCACACTCTGGAGTAATGAATTCCACAGATTCACAATCCTCTGACAGAAGTAATTTCTGCTCATCTGTTTTAAAACTGCTATCCTTAATTGTAAAACTAAGACCTGTCATTCTAGATTGATCCACTTGAGGAAACATCCTCTCTGCATCTACATTGTTAATTCCCTTTGGCATCATATAGATCTCCTCTCGCTCTTCAAACTCCAGAGGGTAAAGGCCTAAATTCTCAATCCCTCCTCATAAGAAGGTGTTTGTCACTCTTGCCTTCATTGGTCAGAACATTGAGAATAAGAGTTGGGATGTCATGTTGCAGCTGTACAAGACATTGGTGAGGCCACTTTTGGGATAGTGCATGTAGTTCTACTTGCCTTGCTGTAGGAAGGCTGTTATTGAACAGGAAAAGGTGCAGAAAATATTTACGAGGATGTTACTGGAACTGGAAGCTTGAGTTATAAGGAGAGATCAGATAGGCTGGGACTATTTTTCCTGGAGCATAGGAGATTGAAGGGTGACCTTATAAAGATTTATAAAATCATGACAGGCATAAATAATGTGAATAGCAAAGGTCTTTTCCCTAGGGTAGTGTTGTGAAGCAATGTCAAAGAGGAGTCTCCAATTCTGTGTTCAGCAGCACAAGCAACCTTCATTCAGAACTCTCTTACCACATGTGTGGGAGAGGCCAGAGACATCTCTGGATCTGGCTCACATGGGGCCCTGTTGCACTCTTAAACACAGCTCAGATCAGAGGTCAGTAACACATTACATTTCCCGATCAAGTACAGGATATTTATTCATACCGTGTTACAATGGTTACATGCAACATTAACATCAATGCTTATCTCAAACCTTCTGACCTACACATCCAATCCTGTGAATACACGGTCAATGATGGACAGCTCCAGTGGTTAGTCATACCTGATACGTAGGAAGATGGTCATGGTTGTTGGAGGGCAGTCATGTCAGCTCCAAGACATCTCTGCAGGAGTTCCTCAGGGTACTGTCCTAGGCCCAAACATCTTTAGCAGCTTCAACAACCTTCCCTCCATCATAAGGTCAGAAGTGGGGACATTTGCTGATGAGTGCATAATGTTCAGCACCATTTGTGTCTCCTCAGGTACTGAAGCAATCCATATTCAAATAAGTCTCACTACACACGGACAACGAGGGACACGAATTTTGACTCAGGCAACACATTGATAATCGTGCATGTCAAACAGAGACACGCCAGGGAATTCCTGGAGGCCTGCTATTCCAATCGGAACTCCATCAACAAATACATTGAATTAGACTGTGTACAAACCACTGAGAAACAAAACTGGAAGTAATAATTCCACCAAACTGAGGCATATAAATAACAAGCGGGACAAAACACCGACGCTTCACTGCAGGTGCACTGACGATGTTACCTAACAGGGTGACGAAACATTTGCAACGAAGCCCACCAGGTCGGCGAGCATGTCTGCAACCTCATATTCAAATACAACAAGATCTGGACAATATCCAGGCTTGGGCTGACAAGTGGCAAGTAACATTCGCACCACACAAATGCCAGGCTATGACCATAACCATTAAGAGACAATCTAAGCAGTGCCCCTTGACATTCAACAGTGTTACCATCACTGAATTTCTCACTATCAACATCCTGGGGATTATCATTAACCAGGGACTCAACTGGACTCACCACATAAACATAATGGCTACAACAGCAGGTCAGATGCTAGGAATACTGCGAGGAGTAACTTATCTCCTGACTCCTCAAAGCCTGTCCACCATCTACAAGGCACAAGTCAGGAGTGTGATGGAATACTCCCCACTTGCCTGGATGAGTGCAGCCCCAACAACACTCAAGAAGCTTGACACTATCCAGGACGTAGCAGCCCGCTTGATTGGCACTACATCCACAAGCATCCACTCCCTCCACTACCGACGCTCAGTAGCAGCAGCGTGTACTATCTACAAGACGCACTGCACAAATTCACCAGAGAGCCTCAGACAGCACCTTCCAAACCCATGACCACTTCCATCTAGAAGGACAAAGGTAGCAGATACAAGGGAACACAACCACCTTCAAGTTCCCCTCCAAGCCACTCATCATCCTGATTTGGAAATATTTTGCTGTTCCTTCACTGTCGCTGGATCAAAATCCTGGAATTCCCTCCCTCGTAGCATTATAGGTTCCCCAGACATCCCGATCATCAGGCCTTGAGATCTACAACATACTCCATTAATGTACATTCCAAAGTTAACGGTTATAATGTTTCTCAGACATTTGCCAGCCTTGTTTATCTCTGAGGACTATTCCAATTATGTTATTGATTGTATTCATTGCTATCCCCATCAAATTCTGTCACTCATCTTATATTTTCTATTATCCTAATCACAGGAGATACAAAAAGATGCTAATTCCTACTAATTACTATAAGATTCATAATAGCAGTTCTAATCTAAGGTTAGTTTTATATATAAAGTTATATGATTACACCTAATCTTGAGCCAACAAGTTGTGAGCAGCTTCTGTTCCAGCTGATCTTGTTGTCAAATAAACACTGCCCTTCTATGTCATGGCTGCAGTTATAACTCCTTCTATTCGTATGCTTGTCTGTAAGTGTGTTTTAAACTGGAAATTGCTTCTAAGATGAAATTTACTGTCCCTATTTTAAATATTTCTATTCTATTTTACTTAATAAAACAGCATCTATTCAAATTCCATTAATAAGACTGAAACTTAATCACTTTCCCAGCTCAAGAATCTTGTCTGAATTCCTAAGGTTTTTACACAATATCTCTGTCCTTACCCCCTTGATCCCTGGATGTAACAACTAACATTTTAAAAAACTGTTATTGTGGGATCATATTTTCTTTTAATTCTTGCTGAACTACAAACTTCAGACGGTCTGTTCTCAAACATCTCTTATCAGATTGCCTCTTATCAATATCTGCCGCTGTGAGTTTGTACAGAACTTCCTATATTTAATTTGCAAGATTATATGTTCTGTTACCTTGTGTTTATCTTCTCCTCAAAGCCGCCATTGCCCTAACTTACAATCTCACTATCATTTTGAACTCGGCAAGCTAATTCAGTTACTGCAGCTAAAAATCTTATCCGCCATATTTATGCCAACTTAAAATCCACAGGCAGCCATCTTGTGCCACCTTGTGCTATGGGCTCCCCCAACATGGTTTAAGTGAGAGGGGAAAGATTTAAAAGGGACCTGACGGGTAACTTTTCACAGGTTGGGGCATATATGGAATGAACTGCCAGAGGAAAGGGTAGACGCAGGTTCAATTACAACATTTAAAAGACATGTGGACGGGTACATGAATAGGAAAGGTTCAGAGGGATATGGGCCAAATGGGTCTAGTTTAGTTTGGAAAACCTGGTCAGCAAGGACACGTTGGATTGAAGGGTCTGTTTTCCATGCTTTATGACTTTATGACACTATGGCCTCATTTCTGGAATCAATCTAGGGAACCGCCTGTGAACTCCTTCAGAGTTCCAATGCAACTCCACACCTTCTCAAGTAAAGGGACAAAAATTGGACACAATACTCCAGGTATGGTCTCATTAATGCCTTGTACATTCGCAGCAACACTTCCCCACTTTTATGCTCTATTCCTTTAACATTAAATGCCAAAATTCTTGTGTCTTCCTTATTATCCTACTGTATGTGCATATCAGTTTTCTGCATTCATGCACAAAGACACCCAGATCCCTCTGCACTGAAGCCTTTGAAGTTTCAACCTCACACTTGTCCATTTAAACACCATCTGCCAAACTTTGGCCCATTCACCTAAACCATCCATCTCCATTTATAAATTTATTTCTCCAGCATAACTTACTTCTTCATCTATTTTAATGCCATCTGCAAATTTAGTTATAGTTAGTTTCATTAGGGGTAGGCAATGGCCTAGTGGTATTATTGTTAGACTATTAATCCAGAGACCCCAGTAATGTTCTGGGGGAGCCAGGTTCGAATCCTGCCATAGCAGATGGTGGAATTTGACTTGTTTACAAATTTGAAATTAATCTGGTCTAATGATGATCATCAATCCATTGCCGATTGTTGGAAAAACCCATCTGGTTCACTAATGTCCCTTAGGGATGGAAACTGCCATCCTTACCTTGTCTGGTCTACACGTGACCCCAGACCCACAGCAATGTGGTTGACTCTTAACTGCCCTCTGGGGCAATAAATGCTGGCTCAGCCAACAATGCCTTCATCCCATGAATGAAAAGTAAATCTTCCTTAAAATACAGTAACCAATATTGTGCACTAGTGTTACCAGTGTCCTATATAACCTCACTACTTTTGTATTTAAATCCCCTCATAATAAATGGTCACATTCTATTAGCTTTCCTCACTTGCTGTACCTGCACATTAACCTTCCGCGATTCTTGCACAAGGATACCCAGATTCTTCGGCATTGCAGAGCTCTACAATCTCTCACCATTTGAAAAAAATATGATTCTTTTGTATTCTTCCTGCTGAAATGGAGACTTTGACATTTTCCCACATTATACTTCACTTCCCAGATCTTTGCCCATTCACTTAACCTGACTATATCTTTTGCAAACCTCCTTGTATCTTCTGCCCGACTTACTTTCCTACCTATCCTTGTGTCATCAGGAAATTTGGCAACCATATCATTGTCCTTTCATTTACATAAACAGATGCTTGAGATACACTGTTCATTATTTGTTGCCAACCTGAAAAGACTCATTCATGCATACTCTGTTTATTGTTATCATCTGTGTCAATATGCTACCTCCTACACCATGAGCTTTTATTTTCTGCAATAACCTTTGATGTAGCACTTTATCATATGCCTTCTGGAAATCTAAGTGTTGTATATCCATTGGTTTCCCTTTATCCACATGTTACCTCCTTAAAGAATTCCACTGATAGGTCAAACATGTTTTTTCTTTCACAAAATTATGTTGACTCTGCCTGATTGCTTGAACTTATCTAAATATCTTGCTATAGTTTCTTTAATAATAGCTTATAATGACAATATGTGACAACATGTGTCAGTACCAAAGCATTAGAACATATTTAGCAAATCTACCAGAATTATATTTCTGTCTGTCTGTCTCTGCTCCATGTCCCTGCCCCTCCAACTAACCTCATTATACAAAACACAAGAGCATGTTTAAAAGTTTTCTTACCTAAATTCTGGCAAATCCTCATCAAACTTTACATTGGTCTCATGGATCACATTCAGATTATTGTCAATGGCCATGGCTTTCATCTGAAACAGAAGAACATTTGTTTGCTAGTGGAAATTTGTGTCCAAAAGAACAGAATTGTAGATGACGAATAATATCCTTTATAACATGTCCCAAATGACTAAAATGAAAAACTTCCAGATTAAAATATATAACTGAATGCAATATTTAATTGAATTTGAACCAGTATTTTATATTAACTGCTTTCTGCCACGCTCAATGCTTTGGGTTGATATATCATCTAGTGCTCTCTGCTTTTGTAACCCCTTTAGAATTGCATCCTTTATTTCATAATATAGAGATAACATAAGTACTTTAATGCAATCTTGGTGTTATGGGGACAAAATATCATTGCATAGGGCATAACAAAGGCTTATCACTGGCTACATCCTAAATAGCCTGTAGTAAGTTATGTCAGGGAATGATCTACACAGGTGCAGGGACATGGAGCAGAGACAGACAGACAGACAGAAATATAATTCTGGCAGATTTGCTAAATATGTTCTAATGCTTTGGTACTGACACATATTATGTATCAGCAGGATCATAGCATAATTTGATTGATGCAATGCCTGGATCTCAATTTCAATAATCTTCAATCTTGATTTCTAGCATCCGCAGTTCTTTCAGTTTTTATTTTTCTCATTTTCAATAATGCTTACGCAGGCATTGTTTTCCTTAAACATTTCTGAAACAACAAGCGTTTTGAAGCAAGGTGAGCACAGCTGAAGCAATTCAATGGACACTCAAAAGTTGCAGTTGAGGCATTTTTGACTTAACGTTGTACACACATTTCACCTTCTTTCTCAAATGATGCCATAGCGTAAACATTACCGTAATACTTATGCAAAAATGTGTAGGCATTTTTCAAAATTTGCATCATGATGTCAAAGTAGTGGAAACAAAGGGGAGTAAAACATTTTATGAGATTTTGGTTCACAAAGACTCTGCCCATAACATGCTGGACTCAGTCCATTGCCGGTGATTGCATGTGACAGTTGGGATCAAAGTACAGTGTCAAATTGGGTTTATATTAAAGTTTCAGAGAAAAGTTTTCTTTTGAGGGCAATGCATAGTTAGTAAATAGCTGTGTTGAATTTAAGAAAAAGTTTCAATTAAAAGTGATTGCAAACTTCAAAACAAAATCATTTAAAGAGGGATATGGTCGAACCCGATGTAGGCTAAACATCCCCACTAATAAAATACTGAGATAGCAAGAACTGCAGATGCTGGAGTCAGAGATAACAAAGTGTGGAGCTGGAGGAACACAGCAGGCCAAGCAACATCTTCAGAAATTTCTGAAGAAGGGTCCCGATCCAAAACATCAACTTTCCTGCTCCTCTGATGCTGCCTGGCCTGCTGTGTTCCTCCAGCTCCACACTTTGTTATCTCACTAAGAAAGTGTTGTCATAAAGGATGTTATAAATGGATCCTTCAATAAAAATGTGATTGGGCATAATCAGCGTACTTTTTTAAATGGAAAATTGACTTTCACAAATTACTAACTAAATTGATGAAGGACAATTGATGGATGTGCATGTTTAGATTTTCAGAAAGCTTTTGTAAGGTCCCTACAGGGAGTGAAGTGGGCTAGCGAAACCAGGAGCGGGACTCGAGCGGTGACATGGAATGGGCTGGTGAAACCCAGAGCGGGACTCTGACTGCGGGTTGGAGTGGGCTGGTGAAGCCCAGCGCAGGACTCAGGCGGTGGCATGGCATGGGCTGGTGTAGCTCGGAATGGGACTGTAGTAGCGCAGAAGGAAAAGTTGGACTTTCTTTAAATGTTTTTAAATTTTATTTTAAATTAATGAGAATGGTGTTGATGCATGGTGACAGTATGAACTTTTCATTGTATTTTGTATTGAATGTATGTGACTATAATGATTCAATACAATTATATTTAGCTCTCACTACTTCATAGGATCATAAATCATTAGAGATTTGTCTGTTTTATTGGTGATTGATAAGGCTAATAAAAGAATGAATGAGTCACAGTGGTTGCATAACAGGATCAACTTGATGGCACTCGCCATATAAAATTATTCAGCTGGTATCTCAATCTAAAATGTAAAGCTAAGATACATATTGCAAACCTAAAGCACCTTACCCTCAAACATGCTTCTCACCCTCCAAACAGCATATCCCAAACATCTCAAAATCATCTTAACCTCCATCCTAAATAGAAACACCACATCATCGCAAACCTCCACGTCAAACCTAAAATTATCTGAAACCACAACCTGAAAAAAAACATTCACCCCCAATGAAAGTACCTCTGCCCACACCCCACAAATTAACTTCCATTCCCTGACCTGAAAACAAAAGAATATTGGAGATCACAGCAGGTCAGGCAGCATCCATCGAGAGAAAGCAAGCTAATATTGGGAGTCCAGATGACTCTTCATCAGACCAGACATGAAGTGTGGAGAGGGACAGTAGGGGCAGCAAGGTGGCTCAGTAACTTAGCACTGCTGCCTGACAGCACTAGGAACCCAGGTTCAATTCCACCCTTGGGTGACTGTGTGGACGTTCATTGGTACAGTCTCCCTGCATCTGAGTGGGCTTCCTCCAGGTACTCTGGTTTCCTCCCACAGTTCAAAGATGTGCAGGTTAGGTGGGTTGACCATGACAAATTGCCCATAGCGTCCAGGAGTGTGAAGGTTAGGTGAATTGGCCACGGGGAATGCATAGTTACAGGGATAAGGTAGGGTGGTCGGTCTGAGTGTCGCTCTTCGGAGAGTCAGTGGTGACTTGATGGGCTCAATGGCCTGTTTCCACACTGTAGAGATTCTATGAAGAGTCATCTAGACCCGAAACGTTGGCTTGCTTTCTCTCCATGGATGTTGCCTAACCTGTTGTGATCTGCAGCATTCTTTTTGCTTTCAGTACAGATTCCAGCATCTGCGCAATTTGCTCCTCTTCCATTCCCTGACCACTGCCTCGGGATGAATCATGAAAAGCGTGCGGAGGGATTCCCCACTATCTGACAGCTAAATGAAGCAATAAGCAGGGAGACGCTCTGGGATCCCCGCCTCCGCTCGGAACATCGCTCACCTGTTGGGTGCTCAAATCGACGCCCAGGTAGCAGCCAGCGTTAGCAGCAGCAGCCATCTCCGTGAGGGAATGGGGCGGTGCTAAGGGCTACGGGCGGACCCAGCGACGAAGTGGGCGGGGCTGTGCGCGTTGGACCACGTGAGAGGGCGGGGTGACCGTTGGAAGTAAGCCGGGCTATCTCGGTTCGAGGGCGGGTCTGACGGAGAGCGCCGTTCGGGGATCGGTGAGTAGGTGGGGCCAGCGACGTAATTGGGCGGGGCTGAGGAAAGCACTGGGGAAAGCACTGGGGAAGGGCGGGATACGGCGGCAAGTGGGCTCTCGGGCCGGGGGAAGGGCAGAGCCAAGATCGTGGGGGTGAGGGTGCGCACTGTGGCGAGTTGCGGAAGCGTGTGGAGGAACATCTTCACGCGCTGCGGCAGTTAGAAGCAACGGTCCGCACAGCGCGTGCTTGTTAAATTGGCAGGCTGGCTACTACATCACCCACCGTCCACTGCTTCCCGAGCACTGTTGGAGCTGCACCCATCCAGGCAAATGGGGAGTATTCCATTGTGCTCCCGACTTGTGCCTTATAGGTGGTGGACAGGCTTTGGGCAGTCAGGAGGTGAATTACTCACCCCAGTATTCGTAGCCTCTAACCTGCTCTTGTAGCCACTGTGTTTATGTGGTGAGTCCAGTTGAGTTTCTGGTGAATCCCCAGGATGTTGATAGTGAAGGATTCAGTGATGCTGTAGCACTATTTACTGTCAAGGGGCAGTGGTTACATTGTCTCTTGGAGTCATAGAGATGTACAGCACGGAAACAGATCCTTTGGTCCAATTCATCCCATTTGGCCCATATCCCTCTAAACCCTTCTTATTCATATACCCATCAAGATGCCTTTTAAATGTTGTAACTGTATCAGCCTTCACCGTTTCTTCTGGCAGCTCATTCCAGACATGCGCCACTCTTTGCATGAAAATGTTGCCCTGAAGGTCCTTTTTAAATCTTTCCCTCTCACCTTAAAGCTACACCCTTCCCCTCCCCCATTTCTGAAGAAGGGTCTAGGCCCGAAACGTCAGCCTTCCTGCTCCTCTGTGCTGCTTGGCCTGCTGTGTTCATCCAGCTCTACACCTTGTTAACTCAGATTCTCCAGCATCTGCAGTTCCTACTATGTCTGAAACAATTTTAACCCCACGGCGAAGCCTCTTCTAAGGATGCCTACCCTGAAGAAGTTACCCTTCTCCCTCCGGAAAAACCTCAGTGGATCTCTCTACCACTGTAACTTTCTCGTAATCTCTTCGGCCTTGAAACCGCTCGACCATGTCCTGAAGCAAACCAGGTACTACTGCCAGATCACCTTTCTTAGTACCTGCCTTCGGAACCAGATCATCCCCAATGGATTACAGTCCACATTCAGGCCTTCCCAATTTGGCCCCAGCCGTGACAATGTCTACATTCAGAACATTGAGATCCTTCAGAAGCGTTTCTCCCTGCGACTCCTGAAACACACACTCACAGCAATGCGCCGGCATCTCCTGGCACTACAATCAAGCCTACCCCAGCTCAGATCCTCCCTCTCCCAGACCTGCAAAGGACCTCTCCTGTACACCCCTTCCCCTCCCCCATTTCTGAAGAAAGGTGTAGGCCCAAAACGTCAGCCTTCCTGCTCCTCTGATGCTGCTTGGCCTGCTGTGTTCATCCAGCTCTACACCCTGTTATCTTAAAGCTACACCCTCTAGTTTTGGACTCCCTGGGGAAAAGACTTTGGCTATTTACCCTATCCAAGCCCCTTATGATTTTATAAATCTCTATAAGGTCACTCCTCAGCCTCCAATGCTCCAGGGAAAATAGCCCCAGTCTATTCAGCCTCTCCCTATTGCTCAAACCCTTCAACCCTGGCAAAATCCTTGTAAATCTTTTCTGTATCCTTTCAGGTTTAACAACATCCTTCCTATTAGCAGCGTGACCAGAATTGAACACAGTATTCTGAAAGTGGCCTAATCAATGTTCTGTATTTTTGGTGATGGTGATAGCCTAGCATTTGTGTGGTGCGAATGTTACTTGGCATTTGTCAGCTCAAGCCTGGATATTGTCCAGATTTTGTTGTATTTGAACGTGGACTGCTTCAGTATCTGAGGAGACACAAATGGTGCTGAACATTATGCACTCAACAGCAAACATCTCCACTTCTGACTTTATGATGGAAGGAAGGTCATTGATGAAGCAGCTGAAGATGGTTGGGCCTAGGACACTACTGTGTTAAACTCATGCAGAGAAGTCCTGGAGCTGAGACCTTCAACAACCACGACCATCTTCCTGTATGACTCTCACCATCAGAGAGTTTGCCCGGATTCCCATTGTTTCCTCCTTGATGCTACACTTGATCAAATACAGCCTTGATGTCAAGGGCTATCACTCTGGCCTCACCTCTGGGATTCAGCTCTTTTATCCATGTTTGAACCAAGGCTGGAATGAGGTCAGGAGCTGAGCGCCCTGGTGGAACTCAGACTGGGATTCACTGAGCAGGTTATTGCTGAGCAGGTGCTGCTTGAAAGCACTGTTTATGACACCTTCCATCACTTTACTGATGATCAGGAGTGGTAATTGGCCAGATTGGATTGTCCTGCTTTTTATGTACAGGACATAATTAGGCAATTTTCCACAATGTCGGGTAGATGCCAGTGTTGTAATGGTAATGGAACAGCTTGGCTAGGGGAGTGGCACGTGTGGAGCACAAGCCTTCAGTAATATTGCCAGAATGTTGTCAGGGCCTGTAGCCTTTGCAGTATCCAATGCCTCCAACTGTTTCTTGATGTCATGTGGAGTGAAACAAATTGGCTGAAGACTGATACCTGTAATGCTGGGCACCACTAGAGGAGGCCAAGAATGGTTCATCCACTCAGCACTTCTAGCTGAAAATTATTGCAAAAGCTTCAGCCTTATCTTTTATACTGATGTGCGGACTCTTCCATTGTTGAGGAAGGGGGTATTTGTGAAGCCTCCTTCTCTGGTGAGTTGTTTAATCGTTCAGCACCATTCATGACTGGATGTGGCAGGACTGCAGAGCTTAGATCTTATCTGTTGGTTGTGGGAACGTTTAGCTTTATCACTTGCTGCTTATGCTGTTTGGCATGCAAGTTGCCCTGTTTGGTGGCTTCACCAGGTTGACACCTCATCTTCAGGTATGCCTCGTGCTGTTCCTGGCTTGTCCTTCTGCACATTCCATTGAACCAGGGTTGATACCCTGGCTTCATTGGTAATGGTTGAGTGGGGGATATGCTGGGCCCTGAGGTCACGGATTGTGCTGGTGTACAATTCTGCTGCTGTTGATTGCCCACAGCACTTCATGGATGTCTAGTATTGCGTTGCTAGATCTGTTCGAAGTCTGTCCCATTTAACACAGTGATAGTGCAACACAACACAATGGAGATTATGTGAAGACGGTACTTCCATCTCCACAAGGACTGTGCAGTGTTCGCTCTTACTGATATTGTCATGGACAAATGCATTTGCAGCTGGCAGATTGGTAAGGATGAGGTCAAGTATTTTCCCTCTTGTTGGTTTCCTCACCAGCTGCTGCAGACTCAGTCTAGCAGCTATGTCCTTTAGGACCCGACCAGCTTGATCAGTAGTGCTGCCAAGCCACTCTTGGTGGTGGACAATTGAAATCCCTCACCCAGAGTACATTTTGTGCCCTTGCCATCCTCAGTGCTTCCTCTAAGTATTGCTCAACATAGAGGAGTACTGAGGGAGGACGGTATGTGGTAATCAGCAGGAGGTTTCCTTGCCCATATTCAACCTGAAACCTTAAGAGTTCATGGAGTCTGGAGTCAATGTTAAGGACACCCAGAGCAACTCCCTCCCAATTGTATACCACTGTGCCGTCACCTCTGCTGGTGAGATAGGACATATCCAGGGATGGTGATGGTGGTATCTGGAACATTGTCTGTGAGGTATCATTCCATGAGTATGGCTATGTCAGGCTGTTGATGAACTAATCTGAGACAGCTCTCCCAATTTTGGCACTACCCCGAGTATTAGTGAGGAGGACCTTGCAGGGTCGACAGGGCTGTTTCTGCTGGTGTCTTTTCCGGTGCCTGGGTCGATGCCAGGTGATCCGTCCGGTTTCATTTCTTTGAGACTTTGTAGCGATTGGTACAACTGAATGGCTTGCTAGGCCATTACAGAGGGCAGTTGAGAGTCAAGCACAATGTTGTGTGTCTGGACTCGCATGTGGGCCAGACCAGGTGAGGACGGCAGATTTCCTTCCCTGAAGGACATTAGTGAACCAGATGGGTTTTTTTTCCACAATGATTTCATGGTGATCAGTAGATTCTTAATGCCAGATTTTTTAAAATTGAATTCAAATTCCAACATCTGCTGTGGCAGGATTTGAACCTGGATCCCTGGATTAATAGCCTAGCAATAATATCACTAGGCCATCGCCTTCCCTTGTAATAACTTTCAAGTTATTTTGATTTTCTTCTGGAAGATAACTCAACTGTTTATCCTGATTTTTGAGAACTTCCTTGTTCAATTTAGTTTGAGGAATATCAAATTCAAAATCATCTGGATTTGGTTCTTCACTCACAGTTGTTCAAGTAACACATTCTCCTTTTCTTCTCTATCAAAATACTGTTTGAAAATATTCACGTGGCAGACTCTATTTAAACAAAGCAAATGCAACACTCAAAAAGAGAAATACCAACACTTGCCACTCACTGTCTTTAAGAACATTAAGCCTAAACCCAACCTGGAATTAGAGATTTTGATGCCATCAAGACTCCCCAGTTTGTTATGAACTGGACTAAACTCCCTCATAATATATCAAGAAGATATCTTTAAATAAACTAAAAAGTTAGGGTCAAAGCTAAATGTAAGCCGCTGTGTTCCAGATGTGATTCAGTGGGTCCCCTACTAGGCTGTAAGCAAAACATTTTATTCTTACAACAGTTGAAATACAACCAAAAAAAAAAGCATAACTTTCATTACTGAAATATTTAATAAAATAATATTTAACTACTAATCATCAACTGTTCCAATATAGCAGTACCCCATAAAAACACTTTTGGCAAAGGCAAATTTAGCAAAACGG